GCAAAGAGATTTATCGAAGATTTTCTTATGCATTATTGGCCTTTTTTTGAGCTAAGCTTATTTGTCTCAGTTGGCTTTCAACGCATAAGAATATTATTTCACAAAGTCGTAAACACAACAAAATGAAATTTGATTCCATTTAATATCAAGGATACGAGACACCTTTCGAGGACAACTTCAATTTGTGGAAACATTTCACGAAATTTAACCTCAAGTCGGCAAGTTCTAAGCAACTTTGTTGTTAGATTAAAATCGCTTCAGACAGAATGGGGCAAAGTTTCGTGTTAGAAAGTCAATCCGTGTGTTTGCCTGGGTTGAGGCTCCCGCCACTGGCAATAAAACCGTATTACGGTTGCGGGTCACAACTTTGATTTTACGAACTGACCAACTGACAACAGAAACGACCGCAAATGTGTTCAAAGCAGACTACTTTCATACTTACACTGAAAGCTATTAAAGCTAAATTCAAAATGTTCCCTTACTACCTTTAATTCCCATTTCCACTCAGCTGAGTGGAATTTCCGAAAGCGATGAATCAATTGGTATTACAAAAGTACGATAAGATCGCCAAGAGCTTTAAAAATTGTTAGAAGACTATAGAGTTAATTTTGTTTTAAATTGTATTTTTTGATTTTTTAGCCTTTAGCCGGGGTAGGTTTCACGAACGTTAGAAATTCGAATTTTCCCTTACCACCTTTAATTCCCATTTCCACTCAGAAGAGTGGATTTTTCGAAATCGATGAATCAAGTTCTAAATGATATTTTGCATTGTTAAATCACTTGACAACTTTCGATGAGCTTTAAAGAAAACTTTAAAGACTCTAGAATTTGATATTTTTTTAAATTTCTTTTGTCTTTTTTTTATTGCTTTTTAGAATATAAAGCTTTTTGCAGTTAATCTACCTAAATATGCGTCAGTACTCTGGCAAATGGTTTATAAATTAGTTTGATTTTCGGCAAGAGGATAATTTGCGAAAGTTACTCGCAACGCGAGTTAAGGAAGAAACTTTGCCTAAAGCTGCTGCCAGGGCAATTTTCAATGTCATCGAATAGATGCCAGCTGAGATAAATAAATGTGGAATAAGCCAAAGGGGGGTGGAATTAATTAAACTCCCAATAATGAAATATATTTTTATAGGCATTTAAATCGAAATTAATTTGAATGCTTGACATCAACCCTGTCTCCAAGTTAAATTGGATTGTAAATATTTGAAGGTTGAAGAAGCGAAAGTTTCGTTGAATCGTTTTTATTTTGAGTTATATCTTAAGTATTATTTAATAACTTTTCAGACAACTTTTGCCTATGTTTTTAATCTTACAGATTACTTAAATCATTCATTGATGGAGCTTAAATTATTATTACAGCCAACTGACAACAAAAAAACAAAGGTAACAATTATAAGGAATTTGTCTAAATATTGGCAAAGAATAATAAAGAAAGCTAATCAACTTAGATGGCAAGAAAATTGGCCTGCTAACTGCAAAATAAATTGCAACTGAAAAAGCAAGAAACAGATGTGAAAATAACTTGCAGCAAAATCGCTGAAGGCAGCCGGGGCCAAATGAAGTGCAAACTGTCAAATGTCCCTTGAGGACACTTGGAATCCCAACCGATTAAATTTCTACGCATGTTTTTAGCTGGTCGCCAAGAATGTGCGCCACATTCGGACACAATCCCCAAACAACCGGACAGAAGCCGCCCAAACCATAGTTTGTTTTTAGATTTTTAGGGCCTAGACGAGGCGAGTTGGCTAACTGTTTAAAGCCGTCTCTGAAAATTTAAGTGTGAGCTGAAAAATAGTTGCGAAGCTCGTTTACTTAGACTGGCAAAATGATTCGCAAACAAAGACGGCCTTATTCGGCATGGCAACAGGAAACAAAAGTACAAAGGATTAAGAACCACGTGTGCTCAGGTAAGTTTTTGTCGATGCAATCAAAGGTAAAGCGTTAAGCCGACTTGCAAAAAGGATATACATTGTAAAAGGCGAGAGTATAAAATGTGCCAACCAACAAATGTGAAGTAAATAGACAAAAGACTCCGTCCTCCCAGTACACATAGTACAAAAAAAATATTAAACTGAGGTGGGAAGAATAAAAAAATCAACGAAAATAAAGCCAACTTGAGGGGCTGTAAATAGAAAACTTTTTTGCACAGGTGACAGCAGTTCACGATGGCAAGGGCAGAGAGCAGGGGCGGGGAGCGGGAGCAGGGGCAGGGAGCAGGGAGAAGAGGCCGGGACCAGCGAGCAGGGAGCAGAGGGCAGGTGCAGGGAGCAAAGGCAGGGAGCAGCGAGCAGGGGCAGGGAGAAGGGGCAGGGGGATCAGGGAGCACGTGTGGAGCAGAGCGTGCTAAAGTATCTCGTATCTGTGTCTATCGCAGCTCCCCACGTTATGCCCTATCTTTATGTTCGAATTAACCCGGCACATAAATCAGTTAAATTGGATTTCTGCAATTTTTGTGCTTTGTGTTTATACAAGCATTTATTGCGAAAATTAATTTTAGTTAACCTAGCTGGACTTATCGCCACATCTAGTCCAACACAGGTAATATGCTCACCTTACATCTACAAATATTTAATAAGACTTTGTATTCAGTTCGCTGCTGGCCAAGTTTCCTCAAGATTTCAGTAGTCATTGTCTAAATGGAACTCAGACTCAGACAAGTTCAATTTAATAAAGAATCCTTTAAACGGGGTCAGGGTTGACTTTTTCTCTTCGCAACGTGCCAGGTGCGTATTTAACAGTTGTAAGCATATTTTGTATTTAGAAATGAGAAAATACTGATATTATTTTGTGCAACCATTGTCACATGATAATCAGACTATGTGTGCGATAAAATAACCCGAAAAAAACACACAAAAACAAACAACAAGGCATACATTTTCATAAAGTTCGCAGAGAGAGCCTCAAGAAAAAGCCTCATGGCAAAATGTTGTCAAGTATTTACCCAAAAGTACATCTAGATAGAATCCTAAATGAATTTAGCTACCAATCAAGAATATATTTTGACTATATTTTTCTCACGTTCACGAAAATCATTCCTCCTTGGAGGGGCTCAAAAATTTGGTGGGTGACGTTTTGCCGTCAAATTAATTTCCAAATATCTATATAAAAAATCATTTGAGACGTGTTACACATCTTTCACAGAATCCAAACTTCTTCGGTAGAAATGCAATTCAATGATTTCTTTGGGTGAAGTTTTCATTTTTTTTCCGATTTGCTTCAAACTTATTTCCAAAGCTCTGCATAAGAATTTAATGAAAACGTGTTTCAGCGATTTGAGAAATTCCACCCGCAACAGTGGTAAATTGGCGGAAACCGTTTGTATGAAAGTTGTTTGCTGAACATCCGATCAGTTTCAAAATCGTTTTCAAAGCTTTTTGAGAATATTTACTTTACAGGTGCCACGGGCAAGGCCGGGTGGTATTTTATATATGAATTTGAAAGCCCTGATATAGCATAATTTATCCTGTATAGACGCAACAATCTGGATGTTTTTTAAGTAATTTAAAAAAAACAACTCGAAATTAGACAATCAAAGTATTCAGGACATCAAAAACTCCTGCAAATGGGTAACGTGGCTTTTACACATTTAATATCTTGGCCAGGTTGGCTGTTAATTGGTCAAATCAATTCCGCATGTTTACAGCCAGACAAACTGCCAATTTGTTGATTGTCAGCGTCTGTCTGCCCACCGACAACATTTGCATAATTTGGCTCAGCTTGTGGCAGGATAAACGGTAGCCTACGTGACTGTCAAAGGATCGAAGCAGTGCAGTTTGTTGCATTTTTAATCACAGCCTCTCCTCCAACGGGGCCGGAATAAATTAAATCTCTGTCGTGTCGCATTTTAACTCCAGGCAGCAACACCTTTGGCTCCTGCTGCTGATAATGCGTATTCTGTGCGCCTTCAATTTTTGTTGCCGTCAAAGATTGTGGCATATTAAATTTTGGTTAAGTGCCAAGTCCTGGAGGGAGGAAGGGAAGGGGCGTCCCGATACTGCCACGCAAACAAATTCAAATCGGATGCGAAACTCGTGCCGTCGGCAGCTTGTTCTTTTCGCTTTTACGGCCGCGACTCCATTTATTCAAATTCAATTTTATATTAGAGGCCACTCACTTCAGACTTTATTGCCGTAGAATGGCTTACAAAGTGGATTGAAGGCGCCCATAAAAACTGCCGATTTTTGGCAACCCCGACTTGACTTCAAGCTAATTAAGTTCCACAGCTATATCCGGTGAGGCCTTTCTTTCGATTTTTTGTACAAGAAATGTATAAGAAATAGAATAAAATTTGAAACATTTGATTTATTCTATGTAATTCCTCTTAAACAGCTTAAACAGTAGCAAAAAACATGGCAAAGCTAAAGGACCTTATGAATATTTACCAGCTCGTAGCATACAAAATGTGTATTGATAATAATATATGCCTTGCCTCATATTTGCCATCCGTCTTAAGGGCAAGTCCAAAGTAATATAAGTGAAAGAGCAGTTGGTCGAACTTTTGCAAATTGCAATGCTTTTTAATTATATGCCCGACCGAAGCAAACTTTTGCTCTGTTGCGGTTTGGCTTTGTGGCGGATGTTGCCAAGTTTGGCGGTTGCCTTTTGGTCGAGTCGGTGACTGATTGCAAATGCTTGGCATTCCGTTTGTGAGAGACAGAGCCGGAAGGTATTTTGGCTTTAATCTGCGCCAAGTAGACAACCATTAACATAAATTTTCTAACTAAGATCTATTGCCAGGCCTAGTCCAGCTCAACTTAAGTTAGTTAACTAAAACTTTCATTCCTTCAATTATTATTATTATTGGCGTAATGCTCATTCGCATTTCCATTTTCCTTATTATCGACCACATCGTCAGGGAACTTTAATCTTATCCCAATTATCAGACTTGTTAGTTTATATTAATTATGGGTTTTATCCTATTTTGTTTGTAGACCTTATTTAGATGGACAGCGCATATCAAAATATATTTATCTATAATTAATATTAAATTTAAATTCAGAAAGAAATATTACATTTTTATTTTACCTACATTATTTGCTTAACATAAATAATTAAGAACATGAATGTTTTAGGCAGTCATTAATATCTAAATGAATCCGTTGAATATGCGCAAATTGTATGAATTGTGGCTATTTGAACTCTGTAGCTACTCGGGAAAACCGTAGATCTTCACGTTGCCAACATCGCGACGCCGATCGCCAATAGTTTCCTTTTCATCACAGGCATAGGCCAGTAGATACTGCTTGGGATGCCATGCTACCGTGAAGGTGGAAGCGTCCACATGAATGTCGGTGACTCGCTCGCCCGTCTCTGTGTACGCAATGTCTATGACCAGATCCTCGCTGGCAGAGGCTATCAGTCGCTCATCGTGGCTAAAAGATATAGTACGCACGGGCCACTCCAGGCGGCTAATCATGCGCAGGCAGGCCAACTCGTTGGCATCCCAGAGTGAAACCTGTGCATCCGCTGATCCCGTCGCAAAGTATTTGCCTGCAATCAATAGCATTTTACAAAGTTCCGTTTTAAAACATCGTCCACAAACCTGTCGGTCCGAATTCAATGCATATACAATTGGCGGGGTGTGCCTTTAGCGTCATCTGGTGCTCCAGGCTGGGGTAGTTGAGTACGTGCATGCAGCCCATGCCATTGGTCAGAAAGAATAAATCATTTGTGTTGTTCCACGATATCTCATTGACCTCAAAGCTAAACGGCTCCTCCACACGGATTTTATTCGTGCGCGTGTCTATGAATGTAATCAAATCCTCCTTGTTACCCACGGCAATTGTCTTGCCGTCTGGCGACCAGGCGATATTTATGTTTTCGCCCTTTGTGTTGGTAACTGAAACACATTTGCCAACCCGTATGTCCCAAATGCGCACGGTCTTGTCGCCGCTGGCCGTGCTGAACTGGTCCGGATTCGTTTTGTGCCAACACAATTGGTCCACGGACGCAGTGTGGCCGCGAAATACGTTGCTCTTGACGAATCGATCGCGCTCCAAGGCGTAAACAGCGACAGTTTTGTCAAATGACCCGGAAGCCAAGTGGCAGCCATTTGCGTTCCAGCACACCGAATGTACCTACAGAAAGAGAACCAAGACAAGTTAAATAAATGCCGCCGACAGACAAAATGGCTTTATACCCACCTTTGACATGTGCGGCCGCTGCTCGCGTATTTTACTATGCGATCGAAAGTACGACTTGAGATCCTCAAATGTCTGCTCGGTGCGATTCATGTTATGCGTAGTTTTTATAGATTCCGCCAATTTTATAAACTAAAACAAACCAAACTTAAACTCGGGGCAGTGCTGTCAGCTGTTGCGCACACCGGCACGCAGTGTTGGATAACGTCAAGTTTTCACAATTTCACTTTTAAATCAGTTGTTATCAGTATATATTTTTAAATAGTGCAAGGTTACAAAAATCTCATAAGTAGCACAACATATTTTGAAATCGTCTCATTCAAAGTCAGATCATCTTATTTCCCGTATCGTGCAAAAACCGAAAATGCAGATTATATTTTCATATATTATTATCATCCTATGTACAATGGCTTCTATCAGCGGAAAAACAGTGTTTGATCAACTATTTCAAAGTGAACCAAGAGGCGGGTATTATTATCCAGCGGCATATCAAGGCGGGTCATATCAAGGCTACGGACAGCCTCAAAGATCCAGACCCAGATCGCAGGAGCATCAGCGTTCCTATAAGGACATTTGCCGCATGGTTAACACGAATGGTTTCACAAATCCCGCCGGTGTTCCTCGATGTCCATATTAGAACATTCTATCAATGCTTGCAATTATTGAAAAATACATGTGCGGCTTTAAATAAATATGTTTTCCTATTGCGTTTAAATAGGTGCCTGTACAATTAATTCTTAAATTAGCGAAGCGTTTTACACATAACGAAGACTTCCTATACCGAGTAAATTAATAAATTACTTGCAAAATTTCTTCCACGTGGCTGCAAAGCAGATCTTGTTAATAATCTAAAACAGTCGCTTTTGCACAATGTAAAACACACAGGCAAGGAACAGGCAAAAGGCGAAGAAGAGCAACATCTTATCGGTGCACTCGCGCCGTCCATATTTCTTTAGCAGCTTGCCCGACTGTGTGATACTGCCAGCCGTGTGGTGCAGCTCATCGTTGGTGGCCTCCACGTTCTGGGAGGAAGCAACAAGGGTTTCCAGAGTAACCGCACTCTTCTGTGTTGTTTCCGATAGATGGCGCGATATGGCCAGCATTTTCTCGGTGACGTCGTTCTCCTGCGATACAAGACTGCCACGATTGTGCCGCGCACCTGCCGTTGTGCGCTGTCTCAGATCACTTTCGCCCGTGATGGCCATGAGCTCTTCACGGTTGGCTTTCTCGATTTCCAGCATTGTGGAGACATTGGCCTTGCGGAATGCTTGTAAAGTTTTGGAAAATTGCTCGCGATGCGTGTCCACCTCTATGGCCAATGAGGGATCGGCCATGTCCCGTGCCCAATCATCCAGACGTTCAATGTTTTTGCGAATCGCCGACAATTTCGCACGTCCCGCTTCGTTGAGCTCCTCCAGTTCGCCGATAGAAGATCTGCTGTTAAGTATGTCCTAAAAATTTGGGATTCATATATGTAAACGTAGAGCTTGAATTGATCTCTTACCTGTATAATGGCCTTGGCTTGCAGATTGTTATCAATCAGATCTTGCCGTATAGACTGAAGCGTGAATTTATCCTTGTCCATGATTGCAATTGTCTTTCTCTTGTTTTGACGTGACGTGTGGCATATCGATAACTGCTAATTCTGTTTGCGTTTTACAACACTTTCTACTTGCCCGTTGAGATGCGATAGATTTCTAACAGCTGCTTTTCGATAACATTTTTTTTTGCTATGGCCGCCTAAATGCTACAGTTTTAATATAAATTTGCAAGTCTTGCTAACAGAAAATGTCAGGTATTTGGAATATTTCGCTTTCGGAATCACTGCCGTCACCGGTAGGCTTACACAATTTTCTTGAAATAAAGCCCTTAATAATATTGTGCACCATTTACAGACAACTGCAAACGATTCTATCGTTAGCTCTCATTCTCCCATCTACGGGCAAATGGAAAATTCAAGCTCTGACAATAATAGCGAACCTAACTTGACACCGGACATGTCGACCTCTAGTTTCAATGCTGACCGACCAACAAGCAGAGATACTTCGCCTCCAACATTGGATTTAACAGATGACGGCTGGCAGCTCGCCCTGGAAGAATCGCTGCGCAATGAACTCATAGAAGCCGAAATAGCCAGCAGTAAATACTTATATTCATAATTTCACATTTACATGAAATTAATTTCCAAAAATTTTTAGTACGACTTTTCTGTGAGGACGTTGAACATAATTTGGCTGAAGTTGGCTTGGGACCGGAGGGCAACGATTCGGTACTAAGAAACATTCTTAGTCAAAGGAATAGTATACCCGAAACCACGAGTAAGTCTGATTGATTGAAGACTAGGAACTGACCACGAACTAATTTCATCTAATTACAGACCAACCAGTTGACTTAATTGATCTGTCAAACATTGAATTTAATCCGATTCCCCGATCGGCCAGAAGTCTTGCTCCGGATGCTATCATAGATCTATGCTCACCAGAGCCAAGACGCCAACTTCCAACATACATTAATCTAGCGGATTCTAATGAACCACAGACGTGTGTCAGGCGGCGTCGCTTATTAGATACCTCCAGCGACCAGCCCGTAGTTGTCGAAGAGGTTAAAGCAGCTGGTGTCTCGCCGCCAAAGCAAAATCGTGTCGAGAAAACTGAGCCATGCGATGAATCGTATAAATGCCCGGTTTGCTTGGACAGCGTGCGTAAGCGTGAACCTTCTTCGACCCGCTGCGGTCACATATTTTGTAAAAGCTGCATCCTAACTGCCGTACAGTCAACTCACAAATGTCCTCTATGTAACAAGAAAGTCACCCAGCGTTCCATATTCCGCATTTACCTTTAAGACGTTCCTCCATCAATTATTATTGATTTGATTTGACTTGTCAAATCATCGTATTATTACTTTATTCTGAGATATTTTAGCTGTAAGAAAATGGATGCATTTGTTCTTTTGTTCATTATCCAATGGAATTAATGAACAATGAAAATATGCTATAATAAAACAAAATAACAAACGACTGCAGCTTATATAAAAGATGTTTAATGCACACAGAACGTGAAACATTCTTTTATTGTTCAGAAATTCTTACAAAAATTAGCATTAAAATAAAACTTAATATTCTAACTATAGCTCATCCTTGAAACCGCCTATACGCTGCATTTTAGCATCGGGTTCTACGTCGTATTTAATCAGTTTTTTGTAGCGTTTTAGCAGCTTGCGCCAGTAGCACTTGACATCTTGCATACGCAGGTGCTGCGAAATGAAGTCATAGCCACGCTGAGCTATTTCCTGGGCCAGGCTATCGTGGTTTTTAAAGTAGGTTAGCAATTCTTCGTATTCCTCCTGGCTGGGATAACTATGCAAAGGTACGTAATGGACCCAGGGCTTCAGCTGGTGGTAAAAAAACTCTTGCCACTCGTCGCCTACATGGAACACAAGCGACTTACACATGAAAAGATGTTTCAGACGAAAACTAGCAGCCACACCGCGAAAATTAAATAGGTATTTGTATTTGCAGTGATCCTCGAAGGACACTTCACTTGCCGGTGGTGCATCGAGAGTATCTTTAGGTGATTTCCATGCCTGATTCTTCGTGTATTGTGCCTCAACAAGGTGTGGCTTTCGCCTCGAAAGCAAAATCAACGAGTCGCGCTCATCCGAGGTACGTGAGCCGCGAAAGAAGCCAAGTTCTTTTTTGTCATGCCAAGATATACTTGATGAGCACTTCTCCAGCTTTTGGCGCATTAAGTCCCAGCGTCCGATGCCCGTTGGATGCAATTTGGTGGCAGGTCCACCTGCCCAGAACGTCCAGGCGGGATACATAATGTCCCGATACTCGTTCGTCTTTGAGAAGGAAAAAACTGGCCCATCGTGTTTCCAAGCTGAATGCAGTTGCGGATAGTCCCGTGTATTGATAACCAAGTCCATGTTGGGTAGCTCGTCCAGCAACTGTATAAGAAAGTGCTCAATTCCCTGGCAGCGTGCGGGGAACATGCAATCATCATCACGGTACAACTGCTTATTGTAGATTTTGTACCGCGTGCCATACTTCGCGGCGTCTTCAATCATTTTTCGAGTGAAACCTGTTGATTTATACGGCGCCAGGTCGCGTTTGATACTCGCGGCGTAGCAGGTACAATTAACGTCATTTACATCCGTAGTGCATGGCTCATAGCTGGCTAAAGCATTTTGTATGCTCTGAGAAATTTTAGACAGTTCTAAAAGATATTGAAATGATTTTAATTTATTTTTTATTTCAAGCAGCGTTGGCTTACATACTTGCGACCTGATTTGGGTCTATTCCATCGGTTTCACGACAAGTTGTGTGTTCTGCGCCGTCACATTGTGTCTTAAGTGTCCCATTGCCTGAGTTGCTTAAACTTATTAGTAATATAATTAATAAAACATTATTGTTCATTCTTCGAATAAACAAATGGCCTGCCGCTTCGCGAAAAGTTATCGATTTCGGTACAATTCATTGTCATCGTAAGGAAAACGAAAGTTAGCGTTCTGTTCCATACAACTGCTACGCAATTAGGCGGACCATTGGCTGTATTGCAGGTAATCGTGCATCAAAAACATCGACAATCTGTGGACACGTCGTACTCTGGTCACACTAATTTGGTAACAGCTACCAAATAGAGTTGCTCTTTAGCACTCGCGGAGTGTGTGCACACTGGCTGATACAAAATGAAAAGCAGCCAACACTACGTCGAAAGTTTCCGTATTAATATTAATTTTACACGCCAAATTACTGACGACAAAATTCAATAAAACGACTTTTCTTTCTGCGATCGCTTAATTATGCGTGTGGCATGTATTGTCAAATCGAAAACACGTAAAACGAATCAAGCGCGGGTGTACATTCATTCCATTGTCCATAATTTATAAACGAATTTTGCAACAAAAAAAACGAAGCGAATCCAAGATTAAATAGCAGTCAAAGTTGACATAACTGCAAGTACATACTCAAGTATTTATTCAAAAGTAAATTATTGAACAGCGGGAGAAGCACGCAAAGAGAAAAAAAATACACAAATTCAACAAAAAACGTAATTTTGGCAACGAAAGTTGTGTACCCACAACTAAACACGAACCGTTCCACATTGGAAAACTGCAAGAGGAGTGGAGTGGAATTTGCAACAAGGTGGGAGGCAAAGGCGTTGGCGAACGCAGCAGCAGCAGCGCACCAGATGATTGTTGAGATAATTGCCTAATACAATTCAATGCAAAAGAGGTAATTTTATCCAATCAACCTGTAGGTGCACCTTTGTATATATGTATGTGTGCGCATACATACAGATGGCACATCTGTATTTCTGTATTGTTCATGTAGATGTTTGCTTGTGTGTGTGCTTTACTAAATTTTCAGCGTTAATTGATTTAAGACAGGCTTTTTATAATATTATTTTTATTTCTTCAGTTACAAAATACAATTCGAACTTTCATATTGGGCGCTGCAAATATTGCTTATTTTCAATCGTGACATAAAACCATATGAGAGAAATACCAGTTGGTTGTTGATTTGTTTGTGTTAACGGCTTATAGCAAGGTGATGTGCGTCGCGGGGTGTCGGGGGGTGCTGCTGCTGCTGTGATTTAATTTAACTCGCTCCCGCATTCGGTTTGCTTTGAGCTCAGCTTCCGTTCCGCTTTGTTTCGTTTGTTCGTTCAGTCAACGTCTTTGCTTTTGGTGTCTCATGCGCTTTGGTGTCCCATTTGTTTTTATCACGTTTCTGTTTATCTCTTTCCATTTTAAAAGTACTCAACATTTTTCAAATTGTTTTTCCCTGCTTTAAATATCACACATACAGTTATGTATATTAATAGAGAAGTGCATTTTGTTATCATTTATTTTTAAATTACTAACTAAATAAACTCCGCAACATGTGCTATTAATTAAATAAAGGAATTTTTATTTTATGCAATCCTAGCCCTCTTATCTTTGTTCTATAATTGTTATCTTATATTTCGAGCGTCAACTATTATCGGCAGCCATGCAGTCTGATTATGTGTCATAAAGTAGAAACTCCACCTTAGATTTGCAATTGCAACCATCAATCAATGTGGAGATTACTTACCTGCTGTGGCTGTAACATGCACATCGATACATACATACACGCAAGTGTATATTTATATTCTTGCATTTTAGTGCAACCCACCCCCAAACTCTAAGCCCAACACCAAAGTCATCATGTTATGCTCTTTTGTTCCTGGGCCTGCGCATTGGAAATGCTTGGCATTTTGTGTCAATTGATAGTATTTCATTAGGCTAATATTGCCCTCGATCAGAGCCAATTAAGAGTATAAACTTCCATAATAAATTAACTTTCAAATTGAAATGCAGTTATTTTTCGTAATCGAGATTTGTAATTAGTTGTATTTACATGTGTATATCACCACATATAATCGCAATTATATAAACATATTTATGGCTTTCTCTCTTGTGATATTGTGTTTCCAGTACGCTCTACACTGTAGAGCGTGCCGCGCTTATCAGGTATTCTGGTGGTGTGTCATACGAAGTGCTCAAATTTCATTGTTTTAAATGCACGCACTCCCTCCCAGTTGGGTGACTAAGAAGTCGTTCTCTCGCACTCTCTTTTACTTAGCTGTTACTCTGCTTATGCTTTTATGTTGGTCAAATTATGCGACTGGAGAGGCGTCGACGTCGCTGCCTATGTTGTGGCAGCGCAATAGAGAGACGTGGAGCGAGAGTAAACGAGAGTGCGAGAGCCTTCATGAGTTACAAAGCAGCGCCCCACATCGACGGTTGCTCGTCGCCCGTTTGTTGGGTTTGTTCGTTCGTTCGCTCGCTGCGTTTGTTCCATTAATTTAATTTGGAAATAGTAAAATGTAAAAATAGTTTAATATTGTGTCAAATAAGTGGACTTAACTATAGTCAAAATGTAATATTAATTGCCTTTGCTACCTATTGATAAATCGATAAGTGTATACAAGGTAAAACGCGCATTCTGCGTAATTCACCACACCCGCAAACCCAATGAGCAAACCCCCACTCCTTGTAATATCGTTTGCTCTCTTGGCGTGTTGAGAATTTCATTTCCAGTGCGTAGTGCATTTTAACAGTAATCTATCTAAGGCAAGTGCCAAAGAAATTTGTGTGTGGCAAATCGATTAAGTTTTTTTTAAAGTTACAAAATATTAACGTACCTAAGTATAATATCGCGCAGCTCCATTGAAATGCCTTCGAGCTCCTTATCAGTTGAAAGTCGTATACAAATACAAATACATACACAGAAAAGCCAAGTGCGTTGCAAAGTGTTATTCATATCGGAAATATTTTGCTAACATTATTTTCCTTAATTGTGCTTGCAGCTGTTCCCAGAAACATAATAAAATATAATTTTTGAATACAACTCTGGGCAGACAGAAGGTTGGGTTTGTTTTGAAAAATCGATGTTGCTCGTTATTGAATATGCATGTGCGCGCCTCTGTTCTCTATCTCTCTCTATCTCGCTCTCTCTCACACACCCTCTTCAACCAGCTGTTTTGGGGTTCAGTAATGTCGCAATTGACGTGTCGGTTAACGGGAGCTATTTCCTATATTCTTAATTCAAGCACATTTTCATGTGTACATTTTCTGTAGTCTCCAGACTAATTTACATTTTTGGCAATGATTTCCATTTATTATGTTTCTTTATCTTCGTGGCCCCAATGCAAATACCTGAATAAAATAATAAATAAATATTTATATATGTAATGGCAAATACAATTTTATATATGTGACAATCTGTTTTGTCCGAAGTCGATGGATAAATATGGTCGCATTCGTAACTGGTACATAATAAGCAAAATCAATAATTGAATGGCGAAATAAATTTCTTTATTAACTGCTAGCCAAAATCGAATGTAAAGTGTTATTACTCGAATCTCTGGGCCATATATGAGCCTGCAGAGGCGTCATCATCGCCCACATCACTTCTGATTGCTTGTGTGTTAGTGCATGTGTGTGTGTGTGTGTGTGTGTGTGTGTTTTGGCGCAACAGATAATTATTCTTAACTCTAAACAAAGCGAATTGACAGTCAAACTCTATAACAGCTAGTTATTTCCGTTATTTTATTTTCAATCTAATTATAATCTAATATATGTAGTTAAAGCAACTCACCTGTAGGTACATGTAAAACATAATGGATTAATGGACTCCCAATTGCTTACCACTTGTAAACAGGAATAGAAGCGTCTGTTTGTTGCTTTTCATTAAAGATAAAAGTTCATTTCAGAATTGAGATCTAAAATCGTAAATCAAATAGCGTATTATGTATAATGCCAAGCCAGCAGTAGGGAATCGTTGGGATCATTAGAATATGTGCAGGGGATCTTATTCTTCGAGTTGTGTCAAGAAATTGGGTCATTCGCTTTGAAAACTTAAATGTTTTTTATATGGTTGATTTATTTGGGGATTTGTAAAGTTGATTTATCAAGTTGTTTAAGTTTGCCAGCTCTGGCGACTATTTTATTTCTGCTCGACATGGAGGGACCCTTTGTTTTATTACAATTGTGAGTCAGGTGCTGACATATTAACTTGAATGCATTTCAGCTGCTTTTAAATAACATTTTCTCAATAATTGAAGCCGCGTCAGAATAGATCATGACAAGTATTACATAAATATGTGGCTAAAGATGAATGAATAATGATAAATATTATTAAATAACTTTGATAGTACGTTTCTAATGAGGGTCGATGAGAAATGTCATTGAACATTGAACGAATTTAAAAATATTTGCTTGTAAAGTGATCTCTAGTCGTTTTATTCTAATTTGAGAATATGCTTGTTTATTGCTTAGCTTGCTTCTCTACTTCAATATGATTCACTCTTTTTGTAGTATAAATAATTGGACCCCGTACTGTGTTTATTTGTCGTAATTTTATACTGCGGCAACAAGGTTTTTTTTAGTGAAGAGAATTCAGATATGCTCACACACACAGCTTTATTTATAATATAAACATACATTTATTTGATACGACGTGTTTATAATTTTATAATGAAGCTGAAATCGATCGCTTGAGGCGTTCTAAATGCATAACTTTTCCGATAATAATGCAAATTTGACTTGACGCTTAACCAAGTAAACGTCCATAAAAATTAATCTTACGTATCAAAAAACAAAATGTGCAAGTTCTGTGAAAGGAAATCCATTGAAACTTCCCGAAGAACCCGCTCGCGTTTGTAACATAATCCATATCCTATCCCTAAGACGGAAATACGTGAGTCACAAACCCCTATATTCAATAATTGTTGTTGAAGTAACCGATTGACAGTTAAAGGCCAACAACGACCCACATTCGCTTTTTTTTTTGTATCTACACCCGAGTACAAGTATATATATTGAAATTTATATTCATGTACATGTGTGCACATATGGCAATTGTATTTTTCTGTTTTTGCATCTTGCCGCTGCGTGCCTAAGTGCTTAATTCTGCCTTCAACCCGAATCTCATCTCACGCTTCACCACATCGATTGTCGCCGTCATGCACATATGTATATATATAAATATACCTATATATGAGTGTAAGCCCACCTTTTTATAGTGATTTCTTTTCCTTGCTGTTCCAAACGCTTTATTCAGTCTCGCCCTTGCTGGAAACCCATAACACACAAGCAGAAGGAGGCTTCTCTATTTGCTAAATATTTATTAAAGTGTGACTTGATTGTAAGCAGATGAATTGGGCTTAGGAATATGAATAAATGGAGTACATCTCAGTGGTTCACTCTTAAGTGTATAGTCTTAATTTTACCTGCGCGAGCTTATCTTGTTTAAGTTTTCTGCTGTTGTTAGTTGTCTTAGAAAATTAGGCACTTGTTGCCGCTGTTCATGTGGGTGCCCAGTGCGCAGCCGAATTCCCGTGCGAACTCCTCCGAGTTACTCAGCGGCCCGTTGACATCCCAGCGCTGCGGAGTGTGCTGCATGAGGGGCATTGCCTCGGATGCGGGCTGCTCGTCCGGCTTGGCCCAGCAGCGGAGCTGAGCAAAATATATGAAGAAAAGCTGCGTGTTGGTGTAGTTGAGCTCGGGCAGCGTCTCTCGGAAAAGCAGAGGTTTCAGCTTATAATCGACCAGCTCCAGCCAGCCCAGGTACGCATTGAAGGCGACATTCAGAGCTCCGCCGTCGGCAATGATTTCTCTCAGGCGTGTCGCATTGCGGAACTCGCCGGGCTGGTTCGACAGGTAATTGCTGTATTGAGCACGCTGACACTCGGTGGCGTTCCGGTAGCCGGCCATGGTCAGCTCATTCCAGGGCGTCGTCGCTTGGGGGTGTCTGTTCCAGCCCTCGTCGTCAAAGGCCTGCAGCAATGCACTGGCCAGTCGTTGTCCCAGCAACGCGTATTTCAGCGCCTTGGGATAGTAGTAGTTGTAGTAGGGTGCCTGCATAAGACCCCAGCCGACGAGAACCGCTTGCTGGCGAGGCACGAGCGCTGCGCGCACCTCGAAGGCATTTACGGTGCCCTCGCGGATCTGTCCAAATTCATTGCCCCGCAGCGTGTTTAGATATTCGCGGGCATTAAAGCGCAGCGTTGTCTCCAGCCTTCGCCAGTAGTCTTCGTTTTTCTGGAATTGCAGACCCGAGAGATCGACGCCCTGGTAGTCTGGCAACTGGGTGTGGTATTGGGACAATCTGGTCCTGGCCGTCCGTCGATCACTTTCGTCCAGCCAGTCGACCTTGAGCTGTTGCTCAAAGGCTTTCACCAGGTCGCTGAACACCTGCTCCATGTCATGCTGTGCGTCATCGCGTTGCACGTGCCGTTGGTACATGTCGCCCAGGACCTGCGGGAAGAGCCGCTGCATCACATGGACACACTGACGTGGCCGCCGCATGGCCTGCTCCTCTGGCGGTTGGTTCAGCTCCAGCAGTGCCCTGTATATAATGTAACCGGAAATTGTTATCGGATTGTTGGCTTTGGCTGTGCGCACCAGGTGTGTCAGATAGCTCTGGGAACGCAGGTATACAGAGTCCGTATAGGCGTCCTCTAAAATGCTCTCGACAAAGAGCTTAAAGTCCAGCCAGTTGCCCAGCTTGGTGGTCAGCTCGGTCAGTGTCATTCGTGGATAGAGCGAGCTACCGCCGGGTTGCTGGCGCAATCTCTCCTGCCCCGTGCGTGAACGTCCGCCGTAAACAGGAACCTGGACTGATTCCTGGTTTCCGGGCTCGGTGCCCGGTAGGGTCTCCTCCTCTCGCATGCGTTTGCAAAGGTCAAATTCAAAGCGAATAATGTCGCCGCTGAAACGCGCCGCTTCACCACTCTCCATGGAGAACCAATCCCGCATATTATCCGCCACTTGCTGCTGGATCTGCTCGTAGATCTCGTCGCGCACATTCGCCTGCCGCGTGGCTATTGCGCTGCAGTGCTCGGCTGGTATGATAGTCAGGCGGGGCTCGCCCAGGTAAATACTATTGCCGCGCAGCTGCTGCAGATTGAGGTCCACCTCCAGCCCGATTAGTATATCCAGGCCATAGTTGCGGCGCAGCGCCGCCAGCATTTGCAGCCAGTGATAGTCGTGCTTCCAGTTCGAATTGGGCACATTGCGCAGTCCGCCGTGCTCTCGCAGTATCTTCATTAGGAATTGCCGCCGCTCGGCCCGGTTGGCCTCCACGGCGACACAGGCATCGTAGAAGCTGCGCACCTTGCGCACATTTGCCGCGCTGGCTGCGCTGTACTCGTTGGGATGGTGCTGCGGCGGCAGCGGGAGTGTCAGCAGGTCCTGCAGCTGATCCGCTATTTGTGCCTCGACCAAGTGCTGTGCCGTGACCAGCTCACCAGCGCGCAGTTGGCGATTGTGGAACCGTCCCCAGTTTCCGCAGGCGTACTCGTAGAAATCCACGCAGGGGTCGGCGCTCAGATTCATGTACTTGTGCATGTCTCTGGCCATGGTCTGGCGCACTTTCTGCTCCTGGCGATTGTCAACGTTGATGTTGCTGTGGTTGGGCATGGCGGCGGCTTGCGGCACAACACCTGGCTGCATGCCCGCCCGATTTATGTTGTTGTACCTGTATTGTGTGCCGGCCCCGTAGACCTTCCGAGCAAGGTGAAACAGGAATAGCGACAGAAATAGAGCAACTCGTGTAGTTCCCATTTTAGCGTTCAAAAATCGACTGAGCCCGGCGCTGAATTATGAGCGCCGCTATCATCTTTTCGCTCATGAACTTGACGAATTGGGTCAAGTTGGCCGACTGAGGCCCAGTTCCTAGGGTTATCGCCGTAGAGACACGCTCTGAGGCCGGCAAGGGAAGTAAACAAAATCGACCTTGCACGTCGATCATTTGCAACTTTTCAGCAATTGAATAAATAAACAATATATGTATATAATTCCAAAGCTTTATTCAAATGAAAATATATTCATTCTCATGGTTTTAAGTCCACATATTGGTCTTAGTAGTAAGTCTAACTTATCTCCACCCACTCGCTTCCATTTGAATGTATGGTATCTGTAAATTCTTTGTCAATATAATGGAAAGACATTTTAGTAACATAATTCTTATCTTTGTCCACAAGTCAAGTCCACATATTGATCTTAGAAGTAAGTCTAACTTATCTCCACCCACTCGCTTCCATTTGAATGTATGGTATCTGTAAATTCTTTGTCAATATAAAGAAAAGACATTTTAGTAACATAATTCTTATCTTAAACTAAAAATGGGTTAGGAAATATTATTGTAAATAGTCAGTAAAAAATACTTAAACGATTGAAATAACTAGTCTCTCCAGGTGCTGTCTAGTATAGAAAATAGCTTAATATTTTTGCAAAGAATTGACTGCTCCATCAGTAAATGGTACACTTTTCTGAAGGATTCATTGGTGATCCGGCTGGGCAATGGAATTCACGTGCGAAATCTGCCAAGTTTCTTAACGGCCCATTTACTGCCAGTCGAGTCCAGCTGTGCGATTGCCGGACACTATACGTGATCGTAGGCCATAAATTGGGTTCGCCATGTGGCTGCTCCTTCGGACGACAGTGCTGCTGGGCAAAGGCTAGGAAGAAGAGTGCTGTGTTGGAGTAGTTCAGCCCGGGAAGGGTCTCCTTAGTGAGTCGCACGAAGTCATTGTTGGGTGCCTGCAAGCCCAGCCAAGTGAGGTAGGCGTTAAAGGCAATGTTCAGCCCGGCACTGGCATTTATTAGTAGCTTTGTGGCGGTTGAATTGCGCTGCAGATACTCCTCCACGTGGCGTCCAAAGCATTCACTTCGATTCCGATACCTATAAGCTGTCAGTGGGTCCCAGTTGTCGTGCTCGAGCAGGCCAACCGACCAATGCAGCTCGTCGAAAGCCGTGGCCATCTGCCGGGCCAGCACGGTTCCTAATGTAGCGTAGCGCAGGGCATGGCCGTAGCGCTCATCGTAGTCGGGCGGCTGCAGCAGCGCCCAGCCCATCTCCAGCCGCCGTTGGACAGGCCGATAGTGCACCCGAGTTTCATAGGCCTCCACTGGATCGGCCGGCATTGGCGGGCTCTCCTCAAGTCGCTGCTTCAGCTGCTGTGCCTGCACCTCACCCAGAAGCTGACGTAGATTGTGCCAATAGTTGCTCCGCTCGAGAGTTAGCCGCAGTGCCAGAGGTTGCTCGTAACTTGGCAGTGTTATTTGTAGATCGCTTAGCTTACGCTGAGCAACGCGTCTGCTGCCCTCTTCCAGCCAGTCGGCGCTCACGCTCCGCTTCAGTGCATCCTTCAACTGGTCGTAAAGCTGAAGCAGCTGCACTCTCAGTTCCTCCGTGACATACTGACTTGCATACAGCTCGCCCAAAGCTGCCGGCAAAAGGCGCTTAACCGTGGCCAAACAGTAGGCTGGCCTGTGCTGCGGCTTATCCTCCAGCGGAAATATGAGGCCAGCGACTGCCCGATACATTACATAGTTGGCTATCTGGCTGCCATTGCGGGTACTCAAAGTGCGCTTCAGTTGGCGATAATAGTCAGGGGCTGCCATGTAGACTGGCCTGAAGATAGTCTGATCGTAGATGCTGCTCACATATGTCCTGAAATCCAGATCGTAGAGCTGGGCAAGCTCAGATAGTGTCTTTCGGGTAAAATTGGCCGTATAGAGGTGTTGCTCGGCATTCCAAGGTTCCAGGCCATGCATTCCACCGCACAGCTCATGTTCGAAGCTGACAATCTCGCCTGCGAGCCGGGCGGACTCCTCATTGCCCATTGCTAGCCAGGTCTTAAGCTGGGCGGCCACCAGCCGTTCGATCGCCTTATATGCCGAATCGCGTCCATCGAGGTGGCTTTTGGTGCACAGATCCGTGGGAATTAACGTGGTCGGCTCACTTAAGTAGATGCTATTCTCCTGCACGCTGGCATAGTTGTAGCTGACGCGCAGCCCGATGAGGATATCCATGCCATAGTGTCGTCGCAGTCGGCCGGTTACCTGGGGCCAGTTGTATTCCAGGTTATATGCGGCCCATTTCGAGCCTGGCACAGCTGGAAAGCCACCGTTTTGCTGAATGAAGTCACTGAGAAAGTCCTGCTGCTGCTGGCTCTGATGGGCCTGGGCCACAAGGCAGGATTGATAGAATTCTTTGGCCTGACGTGCCAGCGCACTGTCCTTGCGATGTGCACTCTCCTCCAGCAGCCGCACTAAATCCGCATCTATGCGGTGCTCCAGCTTGGACAGCGGCGTGGCCTCCGTTTCCCAATTGCCGCAGGCATACTCGTAGAAATCGCTGCAGGGACTGGCACGAAGGTTCATCTGACGACGCATCTCATGCGCCTTGTTCTGACGCACTGTCTCCTCCGTCTGGAAAACGCGCTGAAATGCACTGCCCTCTCCAGGCACCTGGCCGAGGTATCCAAGCAACAGGGTCAGCAGCAAGACACATTTTCTGACATGCTGCTGCATCTTTGGGTCGCTGTAAACTGTCAACAGTCGCAGCGCGACATTCGTTTCTCTGTCCGGCCTTAAAGTGTCGCTGATAAGTCCGCAGTTCAACGCGGGTTATCACAAGAGAGAGCATAAGAGCGGGAGAATCGAAATACAAGGCTACAATTCTGGACTGAAAGTGTGTTTGCTATGTAGGAGGAGGAATTTTTTCGAAGTCTGGACAATTATATCATATGGTCTAAATAGAGATTCGAATGTGCAAAGCTTTATTGGACTTGTATAATATGTTAGATATGTGTCGCAGATACAAAATGATGTGATTAGCTATTCAATAGAGTGCGCACTTGAAGCGGGCATTTAACTTGTCGTCTCTGGAGCACCTGAAGGCATTCGCGAACTGCTCGGAATTGGAGAGCGCTGTGTTGACACGCAACTGTTCGGGTAGCTCATCGAAGATCTCCAGGGAATCCGGGTAGTCGGAGCAGTAGAGCTGGGCATAGGCCAAGTAAAAGAGTTCGTTCTCCGAGTGATCGAGCAATGGCAATCGCTCCCGCTGGTAGATGATGGGCGTCTCGGCCGAGTTCTTGAGCCATTTTGTGTAGGCGCGATATGCGATATTTAGTGCGCCGTTGTCGGCGACAATTCGGCTCAGCAGACCTTTGTCCTTGACGGGCTTATCCCTGAACTGTACATATATGGCGTACTGCTCCTGGAAACACTGGGCGCGTCGGGCGAACGAGCTCTCCGAGGTGGTATCCCACCAGTTATTGCGATAGCCATGTCGGTCGAAGCGTCTTCCCACATCGTCGAAGCCATGCAGCATCTGGCGGGCCAGCAAAACGCCCAGCGTGCCGTATTTCAGGGCGTTCGGATAGGCGGGATCCCAAAAGAAGCGCGCTTGCAGAAAAGTGATGGGTATTTGCATCTTGTTGGTGGTCAGCTCGTAGTGCGGCACCTTATACACTTGGTCCGTCAACTGCGGCTCCTCCACCAGCTTCGATAGCTGTCGCTGCGTGTGCCACTGCAAGACTCTCACCAAATTCTGATAGAATTGATCCGGGTGCAGCTGCAGGCCGTGCATCTGTCGGATGAGTTGTGTGTCGTCGTGATTGCGGAACTGCAGCTCGAGCGCCTCCAGCTTGGCGATGGCTTTCTGGCGTGTGTCCAGCGTGAGCCAGTGTAGATCTGTGGATGCCTGCAAATCCTCACGGAAGACTCGCTTGATGTCCGCCCAGGTGGACTGCAATTCGTTGATCATGTCCATGTTGTTGTAGTTGCGATGGAACAGGCTCTCCAGATGCTGTGGAAAGTACTTGCGCACCAGTTGCACGCACCAGATCCCTGGCTGGACTGTCGCCGGAACACGTGCCTCGTCCAGAGTATCCAATGCACGCCAAATTGTGTAATTGGCCAAATGCAGCTTCGGCGTGTTCCGGATCACGTCCACCAGATTGGACATGTAGTCCTCAGGCGTCTCGTACAGATCCACGTACATCGAATCGTTGAAGATCATTTGCAAATAACGGCTAACATCCACGTAGTTGCCATAGGCGGCCTTCATCTCGGCGGCCGTACGTTGTCGGGTCGTCTGCTCCAACGTAAGCGCCGCATTGTGCGGCAATCCCTTCGCCAGCTGCTGCTCAATCTGCAGAACCTGTGCGGCCACCTCCTCATGCCAGCGATCCGGCTGCTCTGGAAAGTAACCCTCCAGCTTCTCTCGGATTGAGCGCTCGTAACGCTCGCGAGCATCATGGTAGCCTGCATCCAGATATTGACGACGATGTCCCAGCGGCAGCTGCGGTGCTCCCAGCTTGAGTCGATGCATATGCTCCTCCTTATAGTCGAGCACAACGTCGAGGCCGATGAGTATGTCCACGCCCAAGCGACGCTTCAGCATGGCCACCACCTGCAGCCAGTCGTACTCGTAATGGTACCAGGACGGCACTCGGATCTCTGGCCAGCCGCCACGGAAATCGGTTACCTGCAGCAGCGCAGCCAGCGCAGAGGCCGTGTTATTAGCCTGGACAAAGCACGAGCCATAAAAGCTTTTCAGCAGACGATCCGCGCTGCTGTCAGCGCCAGGTTTCGTGCTCTTCAGCATATCTGCGCTCTTGCGCACGAACAGCTCCTGCAGCTCCTCGAGATAGTTGGTCTTCTTGTTGTGGAGACGCGCCGGGTGCAGACGCGGCCAGTTGCCGCAGGCATAGTTGTAAAAGTTGTCGCACGGCCTCGGTTCCTCCGTGCTCAGGTAGGCCTTGATGTGGGCTGCCTTGGCGAGGCGCAGTATATCGTTGGTATAGTTGCTGGCCAAAGGATTCGTGCCAGCACAGCTGCAAATGATCGACAACAGGGCAAAGCCTGCCAGCGAGAGCTTCCAGTTTTCCATATTATTATTGGACTATATTTTTGCGACGTGATATGTTCCGTTTAGTTGTCGAAAGTAAACTAAGCTCAAATTGAGCGATGCGTCGATTTTTGACTGGGCCGGAGGCTTATCATCATCAGCGGCAGCTTGATTCTTGATTAATTAATTAGCTTTATTAACCGTTGCAACAAATTTGCTCTCCGTCTCCGTCTCAAATGGCCTGCCTGACCCAATTCTATTGCCGTTCCGCTCACACTCACTAGGCCAGGCATCATTAATTGTTGTCGCTTCTCGCGCACTTGACCCACAAGGTAGCATCATATTTTTGTTTAGTTTTGCAGGGGCTTTTACTTTTAGTTAGCCTACGACTTTGCCAGTCGTTCTACGTATATGTGTACATAATTAAAATTTGTGTTTTCCGCACTTAAGCTGTTTGTGTATTTGTATAATTAATAATTCCCTTATTCGTTTCCTCTCTCTCTCTCTTTACAGGAAAAGCATTCTGGCAAAGTTCTGCTACACTTTGAGCAACTGGCGTCTTTAATTAAAGCAGCCTCGAAAAAGTGTTGTCCAGAAATTGCCTTTCGCATTGACCTGGGACCAGGAATTAACCGAAAAACGCGGCAACAAAAGGAAACTTCTCAGACGGTAGGAATTGATTTTTCTTTTGTAATATTTATGACTATTCTAATCTTGCATAGACTCTTGTGTTTTTACAAAGTTATCTCGATGATAAATTGAAGAATATCTATTTCCATTGCTTAGAACAGATACAGATCCAGTCTGTATATTACTTATTTAAATAAATTAATTAATATACTAATCTGAGGATTGGTTAAATATTGTTGGCTACTCTCACTTACAATCGAAATAATACTGGTTCCGCAGTTAGCCCACGATCACCTTAAGGGTTTTCCCGCCGAGTCGTGTGTCCAGATCGAGTGGCCTTATGCTTATATTGTACTTGACATGGTAGCCGCTGTCATCGGCCGTATAGACAACCAGCTCATTGTAGACGGTGCTGCTGGAATTCAAGTCCTTGCCCGGCAATATCAATTGTGAGCTGCGTTTGCCCGTAATAATCAGTTCGGGCTCCCCCGTCTTGTTGTTCGAGGTGTTGAGCGAGCCCGTCTCATTGCGTTCACTGTGAACCTCACGAATGCTGAGATAGTCAATCGATAATTATTGCTGTAGATTCGTAGATCGGGTAGAAAACTTACTGGAATTCGTAGAGCACCTTGGTGGCGGCATTATTGTGCTCGATATAGGCAAATACCACTATTAAGAAGCATATTATGTGCCAGCCGTTCATTTCTTAGCTTCTCTATTTCACAACGTTGCAAATGCGGCTAAACTGCGATTCCTCTGACCATTTTAGCTCAAGCTCTTACATTGCACTGAGCGTGTACAATTTCTAACACTATTTGATATATGCAAGGCGATATTTACTAATAAACGGGTTTGACCGGTCTCTGACGATGCAATCGAGAGGTTCAGAATCACGCAAATATTGAATGAGCGATTCCGCATCGCTTGTGTTCTACGATTAGGGCAACCAGTTTTGACTCAATCGGAAAGATTTCTGTCTTTGTATTTGTATTTGCATTGGTATTAAGCCCGATTCATAATTACATTGACCGACAGTAATGATTGACAGTAATTGCTATTTTGATTACGAGCCGTATCGAGGGGAAAATCACTGCGATCACTTTTGGAAAACTTTTCACTAAATTATTTCTTAACTTGCAATTCAAATATTATTATTCTATTCGGCAATTATATATTGCTAAAGCTCTTGAGAATTCCCATCTATTTGTTTATCTGAACACAAAATACAACTTTAAATTAATGTTATTTATTATTTTAACAGACATTTGTGATATTGAGCCAAGTAGAACCTTAGCCCAGGATTGTGAGTACTTTTAAAAGCTTAACGCTTAATCTTGGCTCGAAATGCATAGGTCGAGGCTCGATAATTTGCACTTCAGTCGTAATACTCGGTCGATTGTCAAATGTTTTGCCTTCAGTAGTCGTTGTGGGAATCGTGCTGGACGAAGTTAACTGAAGGTTTTCCGTTGTTCCCTCACTGCTCGCTGTGGAAATCGAACTGGATTTTGGAGGTTTCATTGTTGTCTCTTTTTTATGTGCCATATTTACAGCATTCTCTTCATAGATCCGAGCTTTAGAAATAGATCCTATTGTAGTTGTTGAGATTGGCTCGGATTTGGAATGGTCAATCAAGAGTTCATCTGATGGATGTGCCATTTTAGAACTAGATATTAATGTTGTAGTTGAGATTGGCTCGGATTTGGTTTGGTCGATCAAGAGTTGATCTGATGGATGTGCCGTTGAGCTTGGCACTGGGAACATATTATTCATTTTATTGTCATTTAATGCTTCACCCATGGTTTTCAGTAAATTCATATTTAAGGGCTGAGCACTTAGAGACGATAGTCCCAACAGAATAGTGAAGAAAATCTGCAATTGTAGTAAATATATGTTAAATGCCTGCCAAACAGTTTTATTAACATTCCGATACTTACAACTAGTTGCATTTTGTCTGGCGTACTGTTTACTTACCCCACAGCACAGCGAGTTTTATAGTCGTCGTCGATGCATAGTTAGCGATTCATAGAAATACCCATAGAAATGAAAACAAGCTCTCTACTGGGCGAGCTAAGATTCAATCCAGTTAAATAGTAGCTAACGTTTTGGGAAAGGTCCATCCCTAATTGGATAGTTAGACACACTTTTAGAGCGAAGATTAACTGATTCAGTATTTCGTAATGTTGGAAAAATACTTTATTGAAAATTATCTATGGAATATATATAGGATTGATCTTGATGTAAAACTAGTTATTTGTGTGCGTATAGTTAAATTTGATTAAGCTTCAAATCATTGTGAAATGAACTTTCTTTGGCAGTTGAGGTTTTTCCCATAACTATCAATAAAAAGGCGGGAGGCTTTGTTGTCTTTTTAGTGCTTTATTGTGAGCATATTCCTATCAAGTTAATTTACTCAATAATTATACATGGGCTTTAAATATTAAAGCTTATGGCACATAATAATTATGGCTTTACAGGTACTTGGTAATATTAGGACTTAAGAGTATTAGGAACAAATATACATATTTTTATTCGCGTAATTTGAGAAGATTAGGCAAGAATTTTGAGCAGCTTTCCCGATAAAGAATTCACTGGCTGGGTTGGATACCGCACAGATCTGCGAAATATACTTTCCTGCTGCACAGCATATAGTTTGGAAGGAATTAAAATCTGCTCCAACTTGGTGTAGTTTGGGATACGAGTACCAAAGATCGGGTGCCCCTTGTTAGTTGAATTTGGTTCCTGAACTTCTTCTTGAAGTGCGGAGGATTGGCTGAAGTTGAGTATGTCCCAGAAGTGCGGAGTGGCCTTTAGTTTACGCCGAGTCTCGCGCTATGTGTACTTTTTCTTTGGTTCCAAGTGGAATTAAGAGTTGATCGAACTCCCGGCTTTGGCTTTTATAGCAGCGTCTGGTGCCGAGTGCATTGCCCACGGCACACGACAAGTTGCCATAGATGAGATCGGCGCACGTCAGAGAGGCGTTGCAATTGCCCGGAATTTTCCCAGCGCACTTCTAGCGGATAAAAAAAAAAAAAATCACCGTACCGACCGATTAACTGCCATAAAATTGACACTATTTTTAGTGCAGCCAGTCATCAAAAGATCTACTCTTATCGATCCATTAAAAGATGCAAAATGTATCGATTACATTAAGTTGCTGGCGATAGATGATTCACATGTCTATAGTTTAAAGAAATGTATTGTATAGTATGAAAATGACCTATGTTACCTGCTCTTTGCCTCGCTGGAAAATTGGCCGACGGCGTTTTCCAGTTGACGTCAAAATTTTGCATGACTTGATTTAACATATTGCAAGCGAATTCCGCCCAAGTTCTGACTAATAACTAATGTATGTACTCAATGTTGGTGTGATTAATTCAAGTTATTTGTATTCAAAATGTTAATTACCATTCCAATAATTTCAACAAATATTTTACATATTTTTATTTAAGAATTTAAACTTTTTAAAACTGCTGCAAAAATTTAAATTTCATTTACCACAAACCGAAAAATAAGAAGAATTAGCTATAATTGAAAAGCGGGGCAAAGCGAAACACTGTTTGAAAATATTTTGGAGAGAGGATATTCGCGACTTCATTTAAATTTTATTAATTTTTTCAAGTTTGCCATTTTAGTTGTAAAGTTCTTTATCAGTTAAATTCTTAGTTTTTAGTGTCACAAAAAACAACAAAGCATTCAAATGAAAAAGAAAATGAAGCACAGTAAACATTTTAAAAAATATTTATAATTTCTGTTGTTTGTGTTATGCGAAAGAAACTCACGTGTATCCCCTCTTCCAAAATTATTTATTTTCAGACAAATAGAAAAGTGTTTTGCGCAACTGCCAACCCCAAATTAAGCAATCTCTGTAGACAAATACCAAATCGAGCCAAGGCTCTATCACATATCTTTCGCTAACGAACACCTATTTATGAACCTGTAAATAGTGTTGCCTGCCTAAAAATCGACACTAAGCAAACACGGTGTGGGGTTTTCTGTACCGCTGTGCTGCGGCAGCACCTGTAGCTACTACTACCATGGGCGCCAACGTGTCGCAGCTGGAGCGCGAGATCGGCTCTGATCTGTTCCCGCCGAACGAGCACTACTTCGGGCTGGTTAATTTTGGGAACACCTGCTATAGCAACTCGGTGCTGCAGGCTCTGTATTTCTGCAAGCCCTTTCGCGAGAAGGTCCTCGAATATAAGGCCAAGAATAAGCGGCCCAAGGAGACGCTGCTCTCCTGCCTGGCCGATCTCTTCTACAGCATTGCCACGCAGAAGAAGAAGGTCGGCTCGATAGCGCCCAAGAAGTTCATAACACGATTGCGCAAGGAGAAGGAGGAGTTCGACAACTATATGCAGCAGGACGCCCATGAGTTTCTCAACTTTTTGATTAATCACATCAACGAGATTATTCTGGCCGAACGGAACACGGGCGGCACCGGAAAGACAGCCACTGGCGGCGCCATTCCTCCTGGCCCAAATGGGAACAGCAGCACCACAACAAAGCTGAGCTCCAACTCGAATTCGTCGAATTCCACATCGACCTCGACCTCCAACTCGACGGCAACCAACGGCAATTGCAGCAACTCGACCGGCTCGCTGAGTGTGCTGGACGGAAATGGGAGTCTAACGGCCACGACCACGCCCATAGCACAAACAAACGGGGCCAACACGGAGCCGACATGGGTGCACGAGATCTTCCAGGGAATACTTACGTCAGAGACACGTTGCCTCAACTGTGAGACGGTGAGCAGCAAGGACGAGAACTTCTTCGATCTGCAAGTGGACGTTGATCAGAACACATCCATAACGCATTGCTTGCGCTGCTTCAGCAACACGGAGACGCTCTGCTCCGATAACAAGTTCAAGTGCGACAACTGCTGCAGCTACCAGGAGGCGCAGAAACGGATGCGCGTCAAGAAGCTGCCGATGATATTGGCGCTGCACTTGAAGCGCTTCAAGTACATGGAGCAATTCAATCGCCATATCAAGGTGTCGCATCGCGTCGTCTTTCCGCTTGAGCTGCGCCTGTTCAACACCTCGGACGATGCGGTCAATCCGGACAGGCTGTACGATCTGACCGCGGTGGTAATTCACTGCGGATCGGGACCGAATCGCGGCCATTATATAAGCATTGTGAAGAGTCACGGACTGTGGCTGCTCTTCGACGATGACATGGTCGACAAGATTGAGGCATCGACCATCGAAGATTTCTACGGCCTCACCTCCGATATACACAAGTCCTCGGAAACCGGCTACATCCTCTTCTATCAATCGCGCGACTGCGCTGCGTAAACCCAATTTAGTTGCCTTTGATTAATTTGTTGCAAATTAAATATTTGGCTCAGTGCGTAAAATTTAAGTAAAAAGTTTCTCGTATTGCCTCGTATTATAGGCGAATTTTATGTTCATTCACTGATTTTATAACCCTAACCATATTAATAAACAATGATAAACGATAGATAAGTGTAGTGTAAAGATTATTGTGCTAGGTCAGTATTTGTGCATTATTTGTGCCGGGGGCCTGCCGCCGGTCGCCGAGTGGGCTCAAACATTACGTTCAAATACTACTTCCATATTCAGGCTTGTGATTTCCCATGCATCTGAGCTTGACTGTAATCTATGCCACTAATTACCAACTAAATGACAAGCTTTGCATTTCAATAGAATTCTCCCGGCCAGCCAGTTAACAATGGCATCTCAGCTGAATTGTCTGTCCGGCTTGTTAGGTGGTCCGCCGTACAGTCGTGCGTCCGATTTCTAATTGGCAACTCAAGAAGTCAACGTAGAGTCATAAGTCTTTTCCAGCTTTAGTCACAAATGTGTCATGGAGCACGAGTAAGTCGCGCGAAAGAAACTTGAAACTGGTTGGTTGAAAGAAACATGTGCCTCTTCTCATAAATAAAATTACGTATGCAAGCAAATATATATTGAATAATTATGAAGACACTCGTTTTTGTCGACCATTTTATAAATAAATAAAAAAAATAGAAACAGCCACAACATCATTCAACTAAGGTTCAGTACAATAAATATGTATTTTTTGATCAGCTGTAAAAATAATGCCACAATACACGGTTAAATAAAATATATATATTTTTGTATGTATATCGTAATAACTAAGAGTCTGTCGTAACCTTATTAGGCCAGTTCTTAACGATGATATATTATATTTTATTATATTTAATTTCAATTTTAATTAGCTATGGAGTCTTTGGGGGTTTCTCATCAGTTCATCTTTAGTACATCCAATCTTTATTACGCCAGTTCTCAACGATTATATATTATATTAAAAAAAATTTATAAATATATTATTATATTGTTTTGTTAAAAAAACTACATTAGCCACACAGAAAATTTAAATTAAATTAAGCATTTTATAAAACAATTAGTCGGAGTCTGCGGGGGTTTGTCATCAGTTTATCTTTAGTACATCCAATCCAATACATATATTTATATATAAATGATTATAGTTATTTGTTAAAAAAAACTACATTAACCACACAGACAATTTAAATTAGCTATGGAAGCGTTTTTAAAAGCATTTTATAAAACAATTAGTCGGAGTCTTTGGGGGTTTGTCATCAGTTTGTCTTTAGTACATCGAATCTTCATTTCGATGACATCGCTGTCTGAGGTGAAAACTACGGATGATTGCCAAAACCGGTTGAGTGTCAAATACTGAAGTTGTTTTTGTGTCGATTGAAATTGCTTCCCAATTTATGTACTAATAAATATATACGCACAATATACATGCATACACAATGAATGACAGACAGACAAGGCTGCAGTTGTGCACATTTGTTGCTTGTCATGTTCGAGTTCGAGTCCGAGTCGCTTTAGACCCGACCCGTTGCTTGAGTCCCGCAGCGCACTGAATTGATTAGACCGACTAGACTATTCCGCATTTATGTGCCCGGTTATTACGCATTATGGCTGGAAAAGACTTTCACTCAACTTGAAAAAGAAAACTACGCAATTTTCCTATGTGGAATTTAATTGGTATTTGACGCATTTTGCTCGCTTGGTTTTTCAGCGTTCCAGCAATGTGTGATATGCAACATGTTGTTTTTGTTGCAATCAAACTGCCGACAGCAGAGACATGTCAAGCCAAGTTGCAACACATGCTGCCGTATTTGTCCCTCTAGAGTTTCTACAAAACAGAACAAATCATTCTTATCAATATTCGAGGCGTGACAAATATAGTTTTGATGTCGCATTTGTGGAAGATTCGTATTACTCCGACGAGCTTCTTGCTGCACCCACATGCTCGACTATCCACACCAAAGAACGGCCTTCATGTCTTTAATTAGCCTGATGCCATATGTGGCGTTAACTGTTGGGGCAGATCACCCTTTTTTCGAAAAATGTCAGCGCTGGGGGGGGCTCATTTCTCTCTTTTGGGCTGACATAATTACAATCTGCTACAAAATAAAATATGTCATTAAATTTTTAAACCAAAACACTTTACCATGTGTGAACCCATGTGTTGATTCAACAAATAAATATTTCAAAACTAACCCGATTTATTTTTGGTTGATTTAGCATCTAAAATTAATGCATTTTCGCTATTAAATTTTTAAAAATTAATTTTTTACAAAAGACATCATCGCTTCCCTCTTAAAATTAAAGAATTTAGTTTAAATTTGCTGGTGTTAAAATAAGTTTATTTTCATTATCCTCACTTTAACTTGAATAACTTTCCTAATAGCCATTTTTTCATAAAATATCCTCTAGATTAATCATTAATTGCTTGTTTATCTGAAACTCTTATATTTTTGCCGTTATTTAAATATTTTGACCTTAAGCAAAGATCATTCTGTGAATACTGAACCAAAGATTCAGCTGCCAGTCTTTGAGAGACGTATTCAATATACGGACGTAGAGATGGAAATGTTTTCGAGACCCACCGCAAACTATGCGAGTTTCTGTTTTCAAATAAACATTGTTCAGCAATTTATTTTTGTTCGAGACAATTAAAACTCTGGCAAGTAGGAGGCCATAAGCTGAGGGTGGTCGAATAGTTCAGAGTTCGCCAATTTGCGCCTTCGTTTGTCGCCAATTCGGCCGGGGGGCGAAAATGAATTTTATAGATGACTTTGAAATGCACGCGATGAGTCACGCCACAGCTCCGCTATTGGGGAAAACTAAATTTGATTACTAGGGCAATTTTAACTTGAGTACAGAAGGCGCTCGCTAAGAAGAACCTCTACGTTTAACATTTAAAGCTGCAAAAATTTTAAAATAGATTCGAGATGGTATTATATGGACTTGTAGTTATTAAAAAACTTACGGTGTATGGTTTTTGTTTTTTTTTTTTTTAATTTCTTAAGCTTTATTTTAATCTTCCTGTTATTGTGAGAACAACAATTAACAACAATTAAATTGATTTGAAAATTTGCTATACTACTTAGTCTACTATTAACTCTAATTTACGCTGTATGGAAACTCAAATATTCACATTTATTCTATACGAGATTCGCTGGGTTTTTGTAAAGCACCTAAAAGAATGCTATGCATATTTTAAGTTGTTTTCCTTCTCGCTGTGATTACTCGCTAGACTTTTTTTTTTTGTGCCGACTCGTTGAAATTATTATAGCAACATCTCGCCATTCGTTCCGTCTGTCGTGTGTCGTACAAGTTTCAAATTACGGATGATGAAAATGACCCTGGCAAGGCAGACACACACACTTATCCCTCAGCTGTTTTTTGAAAAAATTAAAAAAACCAAAGAGTAAGTTGAGAAGCAAAACAAATCTGCAAGATAAAAAGAAATGAGCGGAAGATTTTTGAGAGCTGAGTGTTATCAACTGAACAAGAACAAGAATATATGCTAGATGGATTTATATTTATTTTACAATATTCTTTTATGCATTTATTTGTATTCGTTTGAGAAATTATCACGCATTTTACTTGTTGTTAAGAGACCAGTTTTGTGGGGTGTGCTGCTGATGTTAATTTATGTGTTTCCCAATGAATCCAACGTCCATGTACGCCATAATATTGTGCCCTTATTGGAAATTCTTTTAAATTTATGCGCATTTGTAATTGTTTTATTGGAAATAGTCTGTAGTACGCTTGGTTGTCATCATTAATGAGCTAAAGTACCCGCTTTCCGTTTCTGTAGTGCTTCCCTCTCAAGTGCCTACAATCCAGATGTTCATTCAGTCACGGCACGCGCACATACGGACAAAAACCGATCTCATTGTGGTATTTAGGATGTAGGATGTAGGATGTGTCATCCTGTGACCCTCTTCGGTTATCAGAGCACTTCATTTGTTTTCATTCGATACGGCATGTTCACTGCCCAAACTCTATGAGGGAATAGTTTATCGTTTGCCCTATTAATCTGAACATAAATCTGTTGCCGAAATCAAGTCGGTTTTTATACATTAAGTATGTAAAATTTGGTTCGAAATTGAAAAGGTCACAGAATTCGGATAGTTTTAAAATCATTTGGGGTTAATTCTTAATGTATCCGAAATCAAGTTAGATTTTATACATTTTGTATGTAATTAGTTTATATTCCGATTTCTTGTTGCAAAATAGGATGGGATAGATTCTGCAAGCGACAACTGAAAAGGTCACAGAATTTGGATATTTTCAAATCATTTGGGGTTAATTTTTAATGTAGTCCAAATCAAGTTAGTTTTTATACATTTAGTATGTAATTAGTTTAAATTCTTCTTTCGTGTTGCAAATTGGGATGGGATAGATTCTGCAACCGACAACTGAAAAGTTCACAGAATTTGGATATTTTCATGATAACTTCAAATCATTTGGGGTTTATTCTTAATGTATCCGAAATCAAGTTAGATTTTATACATTGTTTATATTCTGTTGTCTTGTTGCAAATTGTGATGGGATAGATTCTGCAACCGACAACTGAAAAGGTCACAGAATTCGGATATTTTCAAATCATTTGGGGTTAATTCGGTTGCACATTGTATAATCATCGCAACGCTCTCTGATGCTTCGGGTGCTTTTAGTCGTTTTTTTGTTTTTTTCATTCCTTGCCACTTGCACATGCACATACTCACGCACACACACACACGCACACAAACACACTGGGAGGCAGCCATACAAACAGACCCCATCCATATACACACACACACACCCCAAAGCCGGGAGAGACTCTCCTCGTCGGTCGTCGCTTTGTAGTCGTCGCCCGCGTCGCTTGTTGTTGTTGTTGTTGTTGTTGTTTGTGGTCGACGCATTTGCCGTTCGCTCGTGAATTTTCAGTCAGTCTCCTTGGGCTTGTGCAACTGTGAAAATGTGCGGCGCGTCGAGTCTGTCGTGAAAATGTTTTTACTCTGCTCTTTTTTTCTCTAACGTACATATACATTTGAATATATATATATATATGGCTTTAGATAACACTCGAAAGATACATTCGATTAACTGACGCGCTCTTTGTTGTTGAGTCCGTGCAAACTATAAACCCGCTTGGAATGTGAAGCAGCTGTTAATTGATGAAAAATGAAATCAACGTAACATTAAATGAGTGTGGTACTTGTTAAATTCTTAAGTGACGCACTGTCGCAGCACAACACACACATTCGCATACATACAAGACTCACTGTGCGTTAGTGAGTGTGGTGTAATCAGCTACTGATTTACAAAGGGGCTAACCACGTTATCTGCCTTCTGTGCCGGTTGACAAACTTGTGACTATAAAATGATTTCTCGTACGGTTAAAATGCGGCTAGGCATATAGAAGAAAATATTATGAGTTTTCTGCAGCTGGAAATGAGATCATCGCAGAAATGGCTGACAGTTCATGGCCATAGAATTTAAAGTTTATCCTCGTTTCAAGAAGTTGCATTTGCTTTCAGAACTCGCAACTGTGCAGCAAAAAAAGAAAATAAATCGACTCGCTGCTCGAGATGATTTCCGCATTGCAATCGCTAAAAAATAGAACCTAGAACAAACATTGTAAATGCATTTGTAGATATGTAGATATTTAATTGTGTCTGTCGTTTGCCAGCACAAACTCTAAATAGGTAAAATAGGCAGCTGCCAGCAATGAAAGAGAGAGAGGGAGAGAGAGAGAGAGAGAAAGAGTTGTATTATGCTCATTTTGCTGCAACTGCAACTGCAGCTGCAATGTAGGCCAACAAGTGCGTTGAACTAAAACGCAACACACCAGAAATTTATATTATTCTATAGAGCATCCAATTCGACCAGCCCTGACGATGGCATCGCCCAAGGAAAGTTTCGGCCAGATGTATAAAGTAAAAAGAAAAAAACCCCTCCCACTTTTGTCCGGAGTTCTAAATGTGGTTGGAACGTTAACGTGCACATGTGTATCTCAAGTCTTTTAATTGCCAGCCAAATATCTCGAGCTAGTCTATTTCCAGAGTTCATCTCCACCTCAAGGTGCTAATCAGGCTATGCGAAATTGAATGCATGGCCAAATCTGTTTATGATTGCGCAAAACTCCACAGAACTTATCGATTGCGTGCGAGATGCTTTAAGTTGTTTTCCTTTGACCATGCGTCTACCTCTCAGTCAGCCCTACCCTCCCCTCGGTGCTTGCTCTTGGCTGGTTGCCAGTTCGCCTTCAACCTGCCTCATGCCACACATTTCCACTGTCTGCGGCAGCCTGGCAGCCATTTTGCTTGAATCTAATGCGATGGGTCCTTGTTGCAAGTTCTTTTGCGTTTGCGCTGGCTCTAAGAGCTTCTCCTCGTTTCGCTTTCTCTTTTCGGATTCCAAATTGGAAATGAACGTCTTTGAGTAGTCTTAAAAGTTGTGTGGGGGCTCGGTTCGAGTGGCGAGCATTTTCCTTTGTTTGGCAATTGCCGCCAATCAAGCAAACTGGGCGTGTCTAAGGCAGACGCTTTATTGCTTGGCTACTTTAGCTTAATGCACTGATTCTATATATTCTAGCTTTTGCTTATGTCAGTCGACAAAAATGTCGAAACACCTGGCCGAAACTGATGTGCATGTTTGTTGGCACGATTTTGCGGCATTGAGTATTTATTTTCACGTATATTCATAGAAATTGTTTGAATAGCAAGCGGCCGTAATTGCGGAATATAAGCAAAATATACCACTGTGAAACTTATGTGTGGCTGTCAGATTTGAAATAGATTTGGGCACTGCAAGCGTTACTGCAGGGTAAAAACAAGTAAAGCACCTTTCCATTTCCGTTTTACAAGTGGCCAAAGGACCCAGTTGGCAGTTGCTTAAACTGTTTGTAAATTTTCAGTTCTCAGCCGCATTTTGCGGCCCAGTTTGTAGGGAAAAACTAAATAAAGTTTTTGTTTATTACTTTTTCGGGTGCAAAAGTTTATTTTAGACCCTTAATTGCTGCGCGGGAAAATAATAGTTTCCAAATGTTGAATTACTTGTCTACTTTTACGAACTTTTCAAATCTATGGCAAGTTCTAATGCAGAAAACTCATATATTACATTTATACGCTCTCTTTTGAAACGAAAACAAAATACAACTGAAAAAAAAAACAAAAAAAATATATAAATATGTGTGTGTATTTATAAAATTTTGTGACTGTACACAGAAAAACAGACACACATAAATAGTGCTTCGTATCTTACAGAGAAACTTACGCATAAAGCAAAACAATAATTAAAAATAGAAAATGTTACGTAGAAATCAAAATCATGAAAAGTGCAGTACGAAATGTATATAGCAAAGCGATTGATCGCAAACTGAACTGGGAAAAACTTACAAAAGCCAATGTGGAACCGATCAATGGAGTGTGAACCCTTAAAAAAAAGGCGACCGTAGACTAAAAATAACAAACGCCAAGAACTTGGCAACAAGTGAAATACAAACACAAAGCGATCAAACAGTTCGATCCCTGCGTTGGTCGAAACAGTCAAGAACCAAAAATAAAATCGAGGCAGGCAACATTTGTTGCAGCAACATTGGATGAGCACTTTTGCCGTTCGATGTTGTTGCTTTTGCTTGCATTCATCATGCGATTCGTAGACATTTCCAAAGAGCAGAGGCGCCAACGCTGCACGGCCTGTGCCAACGCTGGTGTTGAGTGCCCCCTCAACAACAACAACAACAACAACAACAACTCTAACGCTGATGCCAACGGCAACACGAGCTGCTGGCAACATGTTGCTGCCACAAGCAACAGCAGCAGCACGAGCAGCGGCTGCGACAGCAACAGCTCCTCCAAGGAGAACTACTATGCCCCACAGCAGCAGCAGCAGCAGCAACAACACAACAGCAACAACGGGCTGACCCCCCGGCAATTGCAGCAGATTCGTTACTACCAATGCATGCAGCAGCAACAATTGCGCTTGCTGCAACATCAGTTGATGCAGCAGCGCCGCCTTCAGCAGCAGCTGCGTGAACACGGCTTAATGCCGCCAACAACAAAAACAACAACAACGGATTCTGGACTCACCTGTAATCAAGAGTATTTGATGCAACAGCGAATGCAGCGGCAACATCATCAAAACAACAACAACAACAACAACTTGAGGAACTATTTGAACAACAACAATGACAACAAAAGCCATAACATAAATAATCAATATAACAATAACAATGGCATCAATGTGCCGCAAGGTGGGCAGCATTAAGTCTTAGTATTTAAGTAAACTTTAATTTGTTTGTTTGCCTTAAAACTGCCTTGCCTCTTCAAATAATTGCTGTCACAAAAAGCACAGCCAATATTATTTCTTGCATGAAATTACTTTAAGCGGTGCTTTAAAATTGAGACTTTCTTAAATTGGCACTTAATTGATTGTAATGGCATCCAAGAGGGGTTAACAATCCCTACAGAGGCTCTTGCACATGAAAATATATTACAAATCTTGCAATTTATTCAATACAGAATTACAAAATATTATTTGTCTTAAATCTTACGCTGGAATAGTTTGTCACTATATGACATAAATATGTTGCCTTAGCTTGTTTATAAAGAAAGTAATTAGAAGCCGGCAAGATAAAAAAAATTAAAAATTCACTGCAATTTCATATAGAAACTGAATTACCCTATATCTTTGCCATTTTCTATAGCTCCATTCCAGGAGTAATCGCCACGTAGTCCTTTGACTGCTCACACTTTAAACTTTAATTAGCATGGGATGAAAATGTTCTGATTTCTTTGTCCTTGCATGCCCCAAAACAAGACTACATTTTAAAGAAATATAGATTTTTTGTACTAAACTCGGCAAATGCCGATGCCCATCTTAACGTTCATAGGAAGCTGAATCGTAAAATATATATTAACATATAGGTCGTATCCCACTTAGTTCCAGAGTTGATGAGCCCAAAAAAGCTAATTAAAAAACATAATTGAGGGGCTTGGAAGAAAGGGGTTAGTCGGTTGTGAAACATGCTAAGCTTCCCAATTCAGTCAGAATTTGGACTACATAAACATTAGATTAACTGCCTATAAAGGTGCATTTACATAATGTAGCATTATATTAATTTTACGTATTTTATTTTCCTTTCTATTGCAGGACTACAATTTCGACGTGGCATGACCGACATCTCAACAATAAACGACAACAACAATATCAGCAACATTAACCGCCATATCGAACATCAATTCTCATCACAAAACAAATCGCCACAAAGCGAACCATATACCAAAACTAACCTCAAAGCGCATCCACATCCAAACTCACAATTCGCAAAACAGCAGCAGCAGCATCAGAAATCGTTGACTGAGTGTGGTAAGCAATATATAGGCAAGACGGCCGGATACAGCACAGCTTTGGCCAGCGTCAGCGGCCTAGGGTCGGCCCCACAATCCCCGCAGCACTACAGAATCCCCTTGAACAGCCCCAATAGCTCGCTGTTCGCCCTTGGGCATGTGACGTCAAACGGCAAGCGATATAAGCAGCAACAACTTAACGACCGGCTGCTGCAGCAACAACATTTGCACTTTTGCCAGCAGCAACAACTACAACAGCTACAACATCTACATGATGTGGGCTGCCCCACGGATGCTGCCGAAGAACTGAGCGAAGAGAGCCTCAAGCAGAATGTGGCCATTGTCCTGAGCAATTTGGATCGCTATAATAGCGCGCTGCGCAGCATCATATTGAATGAACAGGTGAGCAACAACATCAGCGCCAGCGACAGCCTCTTCCTCTGCGACGATCCCAGCGCTGAGGCTGATAACAACAACTTTTTGATAAGCAACGGACGAGAGGGAAACGCAATGGCATCAACTAATATAGCTACGCCCGAGTCGGATTACAACAGCAATGCGACAACACCTGGCGCCCAGCAGCAGCAGCAGCAACAACATGGGGTAGGTGGTTTGCTATGTGGTGGTGGTGTTGGTATTGGTGGTGTTGGTGGTATTGGTGTTGGTGGTGGCAACAATCTCAACTGCTCGCTGGCCTCGTCGCAAGACTTTACTCACGACAATTCCGATTATCAGTGGTTCCTTGACTATGGCTATCGGGATGGCTGCGGCGGAATGCAGCGCAGCGTGCTGAGCTCGCTATCGGCATCTTATAATGCGATGGGCGATTTGATTTACTACGAGGATCTGAAGAATTTGGACGCCAATCTGGCTGAGGTAGACATGGAGAGTTTCAGGGCCGAGGACATACACTCCTTGCTGTCGCAGTTGCCAGCCTACTGCAAAAGCCTTGGCGGCGCCAATAGTCGCTTGCAACAGTCGCTACTCTACCAGCAACAACAGCAGCAACAACAGCAGCAGCAGCAACAGATGCAGCTGCAGCTGCAGCAGAGTAATATGATGACCAATATGCAACATATGGCACACAACATGTCGCAGACGTCGACAACATCGACCAACGAGCTCATCGACAACTCATTTTGCAAATCCGAGCTGCTTTTCTCGCCGGTCAAGGAGTCGCACATTTCTGTCGACTCGCTGGACATGGATGCCTATCCGGATGACGGTGATATCATACTAACCTGCAACAAGGACAACTACACGATTGCCTTTGAGGGCAGCGTCCTCTATTCGGACGAGAGTTTCTATGGTAAGCCCCAGCTGATCTATGTAGCCAATGCAAATGATTAAATTTATGTGTGATTTGTGATATAGCGGAGCCCTGTGACATTGCCGTGAGGAATAAACAAAACTGCATCAACTTGCACAGCAACTTGGAGGATATTGTGAAGCGCAACAAGGCCCTGGAGGTATCCATGTCGCGCTCCGCCCAATCTTTTCAGTTCCAATGCAAGTCACCAAAGACACAGACAAAGGCTCAACTACAGCGGTAAGGAGAAGACAAATATAAATATCGAAATCGATTTTTATCGATTACTTTGAAACGGTGCAAGTTATCGAATATCGGAAACAAATTCGATCTGCGCGAGCACTAGGAGGACCTACAGCTAAAATTTCAAGTCTCTAGCTCTTATAGGCTCTGAGATCCTTGCGTTCATACAGAACGCACGGACGGACAGAGAGACAGACGGACATGGCTAGATCGACTCGGCTGTTGATGCTGATCAAGAATATATATACTTTATGGGGTCGGAGATGCTTCCTTCTGCCTGTTACATACATTTGCACAAATACATTATACCCTTTTCACCCATTTTCAATAGGTTGAGGTGAGACAAATATAAATATCGAAATCGATTTTTATCGATTACATTGAAACGGTGCAAGTTATCGAATATCGGAAACAAATTCGATCTGCGCGAGCACTAGGAGGACCTACAGCTAAAATTTCAAGTCTCTAGCTCTTATAGATTCTGAGATCCTTGCGTTCATACAGAACGCACGGACGGACGGACGGACAGATAGCTAGATCGACTGTTGATGCTGATCAAGAATATATATACTTTATGGGGTCGGAGATGCTTCCTTCTGCCTGTTACATTTGCACAAATACATTATACCCTTTTCAACAATTTTCAATGGGTTGAGCGTATAAAAATACACACAAACACAAACGCACACTCCCGCAGATTGGTTTTTGAGCACTTGTCGAGCATCGCATTGCGGATGTCTGAGTAACCCTCTTTTCCCCCATTTCGTTGGTTCGAGTGCAGCTGTGAGGTCATTTCAATTGAGTTCAATTAAGATTCATTTTCGTGCCACACAAATTGGCTCTTATGTGTGAGAACATGCAAAATGGGCAGATCTCAACTGCAGCCGATCTCTTGATTCTCTCAGTTGGCTCGTGTTGCCTAGACTACCCTTCTCCCTTCAGTAAAAACACATTCGCCAAACTAGCTAGGATCATTTATTACGGTATTATAAGGAAAACCCTGAAATTAACTCAACTCGTTCGGCATGCAGGCGCCCTCAGGTAGCTCGGCAATTGCGACGGGGTTACCGCGGAACTTATGGGTTTTTAAATGCTTAGCTGTGCTGGCAAAAACCAATCCGTATATTTTCCGCAAAACAAATTGTAATAAGAAATACACGATGTGTCTGCGCTTGTAAAGACGCTCGCTTCTCCCTCTTTCGCCCGCTCGCAGGTATCCGTCGGGAAACAATAACAACGGCGGCGGCGGGGAAACCATCGTCCTTACACGCCATTTGCCGCACTGCAGCGTACGCAAGAGCAACAGCCTACCAAACCTACAGAGCGAACTGTCGCTGCAGCAGCAGCACCAGGATGATGAACGGGAGAAGGATCATGCGGCACCATTGAATGTTTCACAGGCGATCAGTACTTCAACTATGGAATCGTGCACGTCGCGTTCGCGCAACCTGCTTCCCATGTGCCAGATGCCGATCTCAATCAGTGTTTCAATATCGGATCGCTTGCAGCAGCAGCAGCAGCCGGAAGATCAGCACAAAGATGCCATGCCAACGCCGCAGCAGCAGCATCACCATCATCATTCGCATCGCCACAAGCAGCGCTGCGGCTGCGCGCTGTCCTCCACCCAAGGGAGCCAGCACTTTTGCTCGAATGCCTCCCAAGCACACATCTCTGGCTCAGCCTCGTCGGGTAACTCAAATCCAGCCGCATTCAATCTAGTCAAGCTCTTCATCAAGCAAAAGAGTAGCAGCAGCAGCAGCAGCTGCGCGCCGGCGGAGGAGGGCCAGGCCTGCGCGCTTACCTGTATGGACGTCTCCTCCGGCTGCTGGCCCTCAAGCGATGCCGCCGTCTCCAGTTGTAGCAGTGGCTCGTTGGAGAAACGTTTGCGCAAGAAGAGCATGAATGACTCTGGCAAGGGCTCGGCCGTAAGTCGTCATGACGACGACGACGAGAACTACGAGGAGGCGGAAGCGGCTTCGACGCCCAAGAGACAGACGCGCACTCGCTGCGATACCGTATTCTATGACGACGGCGCTAGCTCCAGCTCAACGGGATCACTAACGGCCACAAACTCGCCGGCGCACCGCCGCCGCAGCATGCCGCTGCGAAATCCCCAGCTGTACCAGCTGGCCGCAAACACGCAGACGCCAACACAATGCAGTCAGCAGTCGTCGGAGGCAAGCAATTCGGAGCAGCTGACTCAGGTGCCAATGGGGGCCAAAGCGCGACGTGCAAATAGTACTCGCCCACTGTCGAGCGCCTCCAGTTCGGAGATGATAACACGCTCGATACAAACATCTTGTGGCTCCTTGAGCACAACGCACAGCAGCCTGAGTGAACGCTACAGATGTGTGCCGCCATCATTTCTGGCCAAGCTGCACAATCTGGGCGAGCAGCGGCAGGCGCCAATTTACGTGATCTATCCGAATTATGCGCTGCCCGATCTGGGTTTCGTCAAGACCAGCACCAGCCCTGATGTCATCTTCTCGCCCTTCAACTACAAGATGACGCTGGATAGCGCCGGGTCCGGCACCGGCACCGGCACCGCCTCCACGGCCTCCCTGAAAAAGCAGCGCAGCAATCGAAGTGTTAACGAAAACGAGCTGTTCAAGACATTGGATTACAAACACATCTCTGACTGGCATTCGCTGGCCATACTGCTGCCCGTGGAGTACCGTCGGCGGCTGCAACACATTCCTGAGGTACGCCAGATTTCGAGTCAATTGGATACGGAACTATTGCAGCGGCCGCTTTTCTGCATGTCGCCGCCCATTCGACGCAATCGGCCAAATGTCTGCGACTGCGCAAAGAACTTGCAGCAGCAGCAGAATCAAGCCCAGACTCAGTTGGATGAGGCGTCCAGTTCGGGCTCTAGTCAGCCGCCTAGCTCTGGCTACCGCGGCTCCTCCACGCTGCTCACCGACTCTGAGGTCGACGCTGATCCTCTCAAACAGATGTACGTCTATCAGTATGAGCAGCAGCGCATGGACTCCGGCATGGAGACGAGCCCAGCCAGTCGAAATTTATTGGCGACTGGCCAAACACCGCCGCAGCCCATGCCTCGCAGCATCTTGCGCAAGGCCAATTCAGTGCAAGCGCGCACAAAACGCAACTCCATGATTGAAGCCAAGCAGCCGCCGCAGCAGCTGTCGAAGCTGGAGAAGCGACGTAGCTTGCAGGAGCCGCCGCATAACTACGCCCTGGGTTCAACAGACGAGCTGGCCAAAGTCTTCGAGGAGGAAGAGCAGACGGTGCCAACGCAGACCAGCAAGCAGCGGCTTTCCCGAAAGGATCTGGATGCTCGCGCCCGTGCTGAAAATTTTCTTACCTCGCTTCCACGCTCCGAGCTCAAGTACTATGCAGAGATTGCGTCTATTTTAGAGTCTTCCTGTGAGCAAGTGCAGTACGATGCAGCGGCACTCAAGAAGGAGGTCAGCCGTGTGCTCAGCCAACAAAAGAAGGTCAAGTTTAACGATGTTGCCGCCGCAGCGGCCGAAGCTGATTTGCAAAAAAAGCTGCAAGCGAAACGCTTCTCAACGCCACCCAACTCACCCAACATTTCCATTGGCGCGCTGCAGCGACGTGAAACTCTCGATGTCCAGGAGCAGCGCAAAATTGAGAGTAATCGCTTTAAGCGACTCCAGATCCAATGGGAACTCATGAGCAAAGAGTCAAGCATGCTCAAGGAACTGGCCAACGAGCAGGCCACCAAGAGCGGCGGATCAACGCCCACCTCGACGAATTCGGCCAACTCCAGCAACTCGGCGCCGAAGTCGCGTATACCGCGACCAGTCAGCTACCCTGCGGGCAGGTGAGTCGAAAATCCAGTTGTCCGAAAGCGTTTTTGGAAATTTTCTTTTGGAACTTGTTGCTAAATTTTGGTTTCTTTTTCGTTTCGGCATTTGTGCACAACTTTATCATTTTGCATGATTTCTTTTCACCTGGGCACGGCAGAAGTCCGAAGCCAAGTGCCAGCGATCCTTGTCCCGCTCGTGCCACGCCCAAGGCTGTCACTAAAAGCAAAAATACCCCTCCTAATGTTTCCTCTCCACAAATCTGCAGAGTCAGCAGCGCACACGACGCAGCTAGCAGCGGCAAGTGCAGTACTCGATCCCCCAGCCGCATCGTCCAACCCAAACGATATAGCCTGGCCACCACGCCCACGTCGACGACGACCGACAAAACCACGGCCGGCCGCGCACGCACTCCGACAAACCGAGCGGGATCAGCTGTGACCACTCCAAATACTCCCAAACGGCAGAGTAGCGCCCAATCGTCCAGGTTTGTAGATATATAAATCTTAATGTCTTGACGCATATCTAATTATATTTTTTCACTTCCTTTTAGACCGACATCACGAGTGCGTTAGGAATCGGCGCGATATAAACCCAACTGACGTTGGTCAGCAAGCGTATAATGCGATTAAAAATATCCAAACTCAAACATATTAACAAAGAAGAACAATGAAACATTGTAAAAATATAGATTAAGGCTTTGCGTGGCTCTTTTGCTTAGATGCTGGCCCTGACCACACAAAAGTGATACGAAAAGCATTCAAAGTGAGATCAATTGGGAAACCATTGAAAAACGTGAAAGATTAGAGAAAGAATTAAACAGGCCAGTGGTCGGTCGCAGTGCTAGTATTTTTGATTGATATAATTTTACGCGGAGGGTAGCTAAATTTCTTTTTTACAATTATACAAACATAAATGCCAATACGCGTTTGCAAATGAAACAAATATTTTGATGTATATATACACTCACAGAAAACGACACATACTTAAAAGTTATTTCCATTAGCTAATCAAAGATATCGCCACATGTGCATATGGCAAAATATTTACGACCCACAAATTTATACTATGTACGTACATCCAGACACGCAAAGATTAAAAAGCGAATTATGTATTTGTGAGAACGTGTGCAATTGCTCAAAGAGATTGGGTAATGGTTTAGGCCATTGTTATTCACAAACACTTTGTTTATTTGCGTTATATGCGCAGAAATGGAAAAACAAAAAAATGCATATGATTTAGCCTTCTACAATGAGAAAATCAACTACATATATGGCCTTCAATGTTTTTAGCGAGAGACAGTTAAAAGCTTAGTAATTTTTTATTTTGGCGATAACAATGACAATGGACTTCAATTTTAATTTGTGTTTGAGTTTTCTGACAAAAACTTTTCGATAATACCTGATTTGGGTTTCTTACCTGCTTTTGCTGCATAGTCTAAGTTCAAGTGATTTTTTAATTGTACGATTAATGTACGATGTACGCTAATACTATCATTACTCCTACTATGATTTGTACTTTATCTTTATCTATCTATCTAAAACAAAAAACTCTTGCTATTATTAATTACTGGAAGACATAATTTGTACTCTAAGCCTTAATTTAACCACTTTTGTATCCTTAATTGTATAGACATTTTTATTGTATATCATATTTACAAGCAAAAAAATACTGTATTTGTGGGAGAATTGTATCATGAAAAGGATATGCGGGAGAATAAATATATATTATACCTAAAACAAAAATCAAGCAACAAAAAAATATAAAATAAAATGTATAAAACACAAATTCAATAAAAATATTAATAAAGAAAAAGTATTATCAAAGTCAGATCAATATTTTATCCAATAACATATATTGAAGTCAGATCTGCGAAGCACATTTAAACTCAACGCAAAGGCACATTCCAAATATTGCAAAGGTTATCTAAAACGAGAAAGAAGAAATATATTCAGTACGGCGAAGATTCAATACCCTTACAGATCGAACCTTTTCCATTTGCCAAGAGCCTACTTTTCTACCAATCGTCTCTATGGCTATATGATATAGTTGTCTGATCCAGCCGGTTCCGACAAATGTTCTGGTGTTGCACCAGAAGGAAGGACGTCTGGAAAGTTTCATGACGATAGTTTTAAAACTGAGAGACTAGTTCGCATAGAAACGGACAAACGGACATCGCTATATCGACTCGGCTGGTGATACTGATCCAGAATATATATACATATACTATATATATAATATATATACTTTATGGGGTCGAGACACAATTATAATACCCTCTGCAAGCGTATAAAAAAATGACAGATAAATAGGATCACACATTTTAAATAGTGGGAATAGTTAAGTATTTATATTTATAATTATTAAATTAATTAAATATTTATAATTTAATGGAATGAATCCTCTAAAAATTGAAGCTCATTGAGTTGAACAAACGCCTTAGAATTTGGTATACTAAAGCACACTTGCGCCTTAGTTAAGAAGTTAATTTTTCAAAATGAATGCCTTTAAAGTTTTACAGCCAGCAATTAAAACACATTGCTTCTTTTGCACACACACACACACACACACATGCTGGATGAGGAATATTAACAATTATACGCACCGTAGGCAGGCAGCTTTATTAAACTTCGTTGTAATTACAACATGTGTTGTGCCACTTTTAGCTATGTACATATATGTGTGTGTGGATAGGTATGTTGGAATGTGTGAGGGTTTGCATACATTTACCTAATTAAATAAAATAATGTTAACGCAAGAGTTGCGGAGGGCGCGAGAATTCGCCATGAAGTTGCTCCCCCCCTGATTGCGCCTGTTTTTTAGCTTTTGGTCGCACATTTGCCTTACAATCGGAAAAATCAACAAGCTTGACTGCTCGGCTGGGAAATACCCTGTGTCCAAGTTTAAAACACATAGCATACATATACAGCGTATAAGTATTTTAAATGTATATACTTAGAGTATGTACTTTGGCCTGCCTGATAATTATCGTTTGCTTAAGCGAATTCTCAGCCCCTTGCAGTGCTCATTTGGTGGGTAAGGAGTGGAGTGGGTCGGGGGAAAAGAATTTGGCTAATTGCGTTAAGGCTTTTGCCTCTTGAAAAGTAAATATTTAGTTGAGAAAATTCACTTTGTGTTCGCATTCGAATTTGTTGCCCATTAAGTTGCTCTCATATTGACTCTGAGCGCCGGCATTCATTTGCATATGAAATTGTTGTTTAATTATTGTGGCAATTGGCAAATATCATTTAAAATGTTGATTAATTTGTGGCAGAATAACTTTTACTCCAGAAAGCAACTCCGCGTCTTCCATGTCATATTCATTATCCAAAAACTCGGTCATATACATTTTGCTGTCAACCGAAAAGCAAAAGTGCATAAAGTATGCACATGGAGCAGAATGGGGCATACAATATTTGCATTGAAATATTTTTGCAAAAATAATTACATGCACATGCCCTACAAAACAGCAAGAACGAAACGCTGTTTATGACTGGAGACACGAGAAAGGAGACAGGAGACAGGAGACATGGCACAGGCGACCGCCGCACGAGGTTTTCTGTGGTTTTTGGCAATGTCAGGACACGACACGGCTCGACAAAGCCAAATGGCAAGAAAACTTCTGCAGTTGTTGTCGTTGTTCTCGTTGTTGTGTGAGTTTTGGGGGTTGGATCTGCTGTTGCTGTTATTGCTGGTGTGGCAAGTAGCATCTGCTGTTCGGCCTGAGGACACGCGATGGGGCCGGTCACAGAAAACAAAACGAGGCAATAAAAGGTCATAAAATAAAATGCAATTGATATTCAAAAGGGAAATTGCAGAAAACAATCAAACACGGCACAGAAACAGTACCAACCACACAGGAGAGCGAATTACTGGCGGCGAATTGCCGAAGGGGCTCCTACCAGGAGCGCATGCTCTACAGCTGCGGCCCACTCCAGCTCCCCATTATGGACGAGCAGCGGAGAAGCGCCTTAAGGGAGAGGTGTTGCAATGGGACTGCTGGTGCGGCGAATTTCACACGGATTCTGTTGAAAGCCTGACCTAGTTCAACATGTTTGCAGGTTGGTTGGCGCTTCGGCTCCTATTTGCTCTACGATTTTTCCAACATTTTATGCAGCTCCTGCAGCTTTTATGGTTGCCTGAATGTGCCGCTGTTGTTGCATGGCATTTGTTGTCGTGGCGTGGTTTGATTTAATATTTCAATATATGCACTACCTAGAGCCACACTGATGTCGCAAGTACACATGCAAGTATATTGCTGAATTAAATCAAGTCAATTTTTTTTTTATCATTCATTTTGCGCCAAATGAGCTGCAGAAGCTTCAGCTGCTACCCAAAAAATTAGATAACGTTACTAAAGTCCTGAGGCTTATTCAGCTCCATGCAGTTTTCAATTTCGCCCAAGTCTATTCACGCCGGAGTATATTCTGTTGAAAATCGAAATGCATGCACACTGCGCAACAGGGGTTCTGCCACAAAATATGCAAACAATTTTCAATTAAAAATCAATTTTATGCTTCAACTGCAGCTAAGTGCAAAAATAGTTGTTGTTGCACCCCGAAAAGAGCGTCTAAAATACAGGTAGCCCACCAGATGCACAAATATTAAGCGAAGTTCATAGCCACATTGGCAACATTCAGGGCCTTCCTCTTCTCACAAAATTTTGTTTAAAGTGCATCTTTAATCAGCGGTTGGATTGTTTTAAAAATATAAAATAGGCGAAGTTTGGGCAAGAAGTTTTCAACTGTCAAAGGGCTTAATGCTGGAATTTGCATTTAATTTTTGTGAGTTTTTAGTTTCTTAGAAATACAGAAGTTGAGGGAGCGCTGTTGAAAGTTAGAAGCAACAGTAGCTGCAGCTGTTGCCTCGCCAAGAAGAGGAAGCTATCTGACCATTTGCACATGTAAGCCAAGTTAAAGCGGAAAGCAGAGCAAACTGATGCTCTCAATTAGATGCAATCATATACAGTAATCAAGGGGGCAAAGGGCAATACTAAAGACAAGCTGACATTTGATTCCATTTTTTGTACACACACACTTGGCAAATAACAAAAAAAAAAACAATTTAAAGGAACTCTACTTTTCTCTATAATTCTCGGTGCGATGAGAGCCACATTACATGCACCCAGCTTCAAGTCGAGTAATTGGCAATTGATGGCCAAGTAACCCCGAAGGATAGGGGATTCTGAGGTCGCGGCGCGTTTAGAAATTTTCATAAAACTTTTTATGGTTGCCATTTGTGGCGTGCTACAATTGTTGCCAATTTCCGCTCAAGGAGATGTGTGCCTTAGTCTTGCTCATGCCGAGGGAGACCTCAATATTCATGGGAGATTCTTGCGAAGTATTAGAGTAGCCCACAGTTCTGCCAACCAAAATCAGCTACATATCCAATTACATTTATAGATATTGCGCACATTGTACCAAAAATACGCACGTTATAGCTGACAAAATGTACGAAAAACACCTAAATAAAGCTTAAGCACTGTACGAAGCAGAAAATGCGGGGCTGTTTCACAATATGGAAACGAGAAATGCAACATTTGAGCTGCTACTGAGCGCACATTATCAGAGGTGTTAAAAGTTATGCAACTGCAACTTCTTCAAGCATCGAGACGAGTTTTCCGATCATTGTCACTTGTACGCCCCGAATACAACAGACCGTGGTTACAACACGTCAGTTCGTTTCGAAAATGTCAATCGATGGTACGGATCCTTACGAGCCCAAAATGGTATATCATTCGAAAATTTCGAACCGACCCCGATTTTCAGAAAAAACGTGATGTCACCCCTTGCCATTTTGTTGATTTTGGTCAAAATTTAGATTCTTATTTGTTTGATGCCAATCGATAGTACTGATCCTTACGAGTCGAAAATGGTATAAAATTCCCAAATCGAATACTATTTGGCCGAGCTATTCAAAAAAATCATCAAAAAACGTTGACTTTACAAACGAATCGGTTTTTGGTCAACCTCTTTTTTCAACCCGTCGATTTTTAAAATGTTTGAATGCAGATTAATAGTAAAAATAAAAATCTAAATTTTGACCAAAATCATCAAAATGGCAAGGGGTTACATCACGTTTTTTCTCAAATTCGGGGTCGGTTCGAAAATCGAAACTTTTTTGATGATTTTTATTGAATATCTCGGGTAAATGCTGTCCGATTTTGAAATGTTATACCTTTTTGAATTCGTAGGGAGCCCTACTATCAATCTGCATTCAAACATTTTAAAAATCGACGGGTTGAAAAAAGTGGTTGACCAAAACCGATTCGTTTGAAAAGTCAACCTTTTTTGATGATTTTTTTGAATAGCTCGGCCAAATAGTGTTCGATATTGGAATTTTATACCATTTTCGACTCGTAAGGATCAGTACTATCTATTGGCATTAAAAATCGACGGGATAAAAAAAGGGGTTGACCAAAAACCGATTCGATTGTAAAGTCAACATTTTTTGATGATTTTTTTGTATATTTCGGCCAAATAGTGTCCGATATGGGAATTTTATGCCATTTTGGACTGGTAAGGATCAGTACTATCGATTGGCTTTAAAAAAAATGAAAATCTAATTTTTGACCAAAATCATCAAAATGGCAAGGGGTTACATCACGTTTTTTCTCAAATTCGGGGTCGGTTCGAAAATCGAAACTTTTTTGATGGGTTTTATTGAATATCTCGGGTAAATGCTGTCCGATTTTGAAATGTTATACCTTTTTGAATTCGTAGGGATCCCTTCTATCAATCTGAATTCAAACATTTTAAAAATCGACGGGATAAAAAAGTGGTTGACCAAAAACCGATTCGTTTGTAAAGTCAACCTTTTTTGATGATTTTTTGGAATATCTCGGCCAAACAGTGACCGATTTGGGAATTTTATACCATTTTGGACTGGTAAGGATCAGTACTATCGATTGGCATCAAAAAAATAAAAATCTAATTTTTGACCAAAATCATCAAAATGGCAAGGGGTTACATCACGTTTTTTCTCAAATTCGGGGTCGGTTCGAAAATCGAAACTTTTTTGATGATTTTTATTGAATATCTCGGGTAAATGCTGTCCGATTTTGAAATGTTATACCTTTTTGAATTCGTAGGGAACCCTACTATCAATCTGCATTCAAACATTTTAAAAATCGACGGGATAAAAAAAGTGGTTGACGAAAAGCCGATTCGTTTGTAAAGTCAACCTTTTTTGATGATTTTTTTGAATATCTCGGCCAAATAGTGTTCGATTTGGGAATTTTATACCATTTTGGACTGGTAAGGATCAGTACTATC